TCATGATTTTTGGCATCCTAATAAACCTGTATAACCACTGTAAAAAGGAAAATTGGTACCCCCAAATTATACCGTCATGTCGACTGGCCCATGGACTAAATGTTTTATTTACGAAGTGCCATATACACCTGCTTTTTACAGTTTACAATTACAGTCCGAAGAAAATTCTGAATCATTGTTCAGGGAAGGTAAATATAGGTGAAAAATCTGGAGCAATATACCAAAAATTAACAATCCAAGGAAGTAACTCTTGAATTTGAATAATTTAAATCTGACTTTAATCTAATACAAAATTTAATATGCTCAAAAGTAGCCAACTCAAATAGATTTAAAAGCAAATTCACTCCTTTCCCATTTGTGGAAAATAACATTCCGAAGCCTCTTACATAAAGTAAATGAAATATGTAGGTACTTTGTTAATTAGCGGGAGCTTCTCCAATCCAAAAGGTATCTGGAGGTCCAGAATACGGTAACCTTAAACTGAAGTTGTATTTCGAGATGAATGCCGCTACTTGACTTGTTATTCTAGCTACGCACATTGAAAAAAGAGGACGTGTTTTTGTCTTCTAAGGTACATTTAAGGCTAGTATTTCGCATATGTTAAATATAGGGAAAACTTGCTTCCGTATTTCATGTTTACCTGTGCAACGAGTTTGATTATGAAACTTTAGATATTATTTTCAACATTTGAAGGCAACAAAATTTATGGAAATGGACACTTTTTCCATTTGTGTCGACCACCTGCGTGTGGGGTATGAAAAAGAAGAAACAGACTGTGTAACCTCTCTTTCATTCAGGGATGTATTTTAACTTTTTTCCCAGTGTTAATCAAAATTGTTACTAATTAATTCTTTGAAATTTACGGCAGTCGACTAATACGACTGAATCTTTCAAATTATCAATTCAAATTAATATTAGGATTTCGCCTAAAGTGTACGAGGAGAGATCAACAAAATTCAGTTTCAATTTCAAATGTAATTTATTTGAACTAGTTGGACAAGTATTTTGTGAGTGGTGTAGTTGTCCGCACGCCATTGCACACAGCAACATTTATAAACGTTGTGAAATTTAGTAGGAAATATAGGTAGATTGTTATTATTGTATAGAATTTTCGCAAGACAGTCTAGATATTGTAGGAGATTCAGATGAACAAAGAAAAATCATTGAATCCGATGACTGACAACATCCCGAAGCTGTAAGCCAGCCCTAAACTAATCAAAGTTCAAAGGGAAAAGGATAGATAGAAGGAACCAGAAAGTGGTTACGTTCACTTTGGGCAAATATAACAAAATTACCTTAAGATAAGCAAAGGGTAAACTACAAAAGGTAAAGTGGAGGTGGGTCGGGGTTAATATCTTATACACAAGCAAAAATAATCAATCAGGAAATATAGTAATCGTAATCCGAATCGGCGCCACTTAGTCTTTAGTAAAAGTCAAAAGAGAAGAGAGAACGCGTACTGGCCAAAAGGGAGAAACGACTAAGACTAAGAGATCCTTGTTCTCGTCTTGAAAGTATTTATATCAAAACAAGTTTCCGCAGAAATAATCGTTAAGTGAATCTCAAACAAAAGTAATAATCATGATTCGATTGTATCGAAAACCAGTATGTAATCAAACGTTAATCAAGGAATCGACAAAATTTACCTATGAACTTCACCTTCTGAGCTCAAAAAGGTGCGTTCTGCAAATCTGTAACAGACAATAACACAACAAACAAATAAGAGGTGTAGTGAATCGCGCTGCACGTAAGATATTGCGAAATAGCAATGTTAACGTCTGACACGGAGGCAATCGTATATAAAATCTGTAATTAATACTTAATAGGAATCAATAATTCGAATGACTTTACACTAGCAAAATTAAAACCACGGGTTTCTCGTGCAATATCAAATATGAAAGCATAAACGTGACGTTAAATTCAAGAAAAGTACTTTACGATTCACGAATAACGTGACTAAAACAGATAAATATCGACTTCAGACAAAACAACAAACTCAACAAACATCATGTGTAAGTATGTCACAAGTAATAGTTGATAGAATTGAAGTACAATTCTCGCAGCCTGTAATGTAGAAACTCATCTATGGCGTTCTTGACTTGTTAAGATGGCGGTAGACGTTTACAAATGAATTTTCCTTAGGCAATATTCAGAAAGTCCAAAATTCTGAGGTTTCCACTGACGAATATCGATAAGGAAAGCACCAATCAGGTAGGTAATAATGAAGAAGAGAGTAAGCCAGAAGTAAGAAGTAAAACGCTTTAAAAAATGATCATTCAAAGTCAAGGGTAATGCGTAATTGTTTGGTTACATACCGAAAACGACCTTAAAACTTGTAAAATACATCTGCAAATGCGTCAGCGAAGTGTTGAAAGCAAAATAACAAGAGAAAAACTTCACTAAATTTCTAACCAATAGAAAACCAAAAAAAAAGGCTGACCGTGTAACTGTTCTTGCAAGTAATGATCGAATCTCGTTTATAAGAGCGTGCGCGGAAAGAAAATAAAGAAAACTCCGCACGACCTCGAGCGACGAAACAAATAATTAATAATAAAAGATCTACTACAGCGAAAATAAAGAACTAAGGCAATGAGAAATCTACTACAGATATAAACTTACATCTAGTGAATTACAAACGAAATACCTAGATGGCGTAAGAATATTGAATTTAAATTACAAGCTAAAAGAATTTAAATAAGAATACAAATTAAGGTTTACTTAAGCGAAATTCAAATTTGTAATATCAAAGCGTAAGGGAACAACAATAAGAGGCGACCGGAAGATAACAACAAGAAACTAGAAGAATAATGAAAGGAATTCAAACAAACCAATGAGAAAAAGAGATCAAAGTCGACCAGAACAAGTTGACAGAAGAAATAAGTGAAAGCCGATTAGAAAACCACCAGTGTTGCTGGAAGGCCAGTACACCTTAATACTGGAAATACAGGAGAAGCAGAGAATTTTTAGAGAGAGGGTGAAGAATGTAGTGGAAGAAAGTGTTAAATAAAATGAAGAAAGAATGAACAAGCATAATACCGTCATTAAAGAAGTGAAGAATAAATGGTCACGAAGAGTAACAAGAAGCACTACGCCAGCCAACATACTTCCCCAGAAGCCAAAGAAGTTTGATGGCAATATTCAGATCGTCCACCATCGAAAGCCTCGAAAATTATTTAGGAAATTTTAAATCTTGTGAACAAAACAAGTTGGCTTCTGCGAAGGAGACGGCAGAGGGAAATACCAAGGCCTGGTCAGAATTGAACAGGAATAAATGAGAAAACTGCCAGAAAGAAAATTTCATAAAGCAGTATTGCTCGGATGGGAAAATTAGACTCCGACTCGCCAAAGAGTTCTTTATTTTTTTATAAAGTTCAAATAGCATCAGAAAAAATAAAATCACAATCGGCAAATTTCGGTATTTCTAGCATATCTTCGGAAATAATCGAAATTTTCTTTAGTATCTTCTATTGTTTCCGAAATCCCCTTGATAGACATCCGTATCTTGTACACAGTGTATAATTATATATAAAAATATAGGTTGTGATATCTATGCAATCAAACAAAAAAGAATGCAAACAATTTACGTTGAGATATACAGGGTGTTTCATTTAAAAAAACTAACATTGGGTCAGATTCCAGAAACGGTGATCCAAAAAATGTGTTGGTTACGCCCCTGGATTCTACGTAGGTAAAGATTTTCACCATGTATCTCGGAAACAAAGGTAGATAGATTAATTCTGTTTGTAGTATTAAAAGTTTCACAAAAGTGAAAACCGCAGTCTCTACTTTAAAAACAGCTGAAATACAATGCAATATTTTACACGTTTTGAGTACAATATTTACTCTAATTTTTTACTGTGAATGTTGAGGAATAAATAAACGAGTTATGTTCCTGATAGTAATAGATGGGTAAGTTACAAGTACTGGGAGAACATAACAGACAGGAAACCATTGCTTCAATTATGAAAACTTTGTTAAATAAATCAACTCTTGCTTGCACTCCTGCTCTCCAGACAATTGGATCATATTTTTGTAAATATATGTGGCCTCAGGAAAAATACGAGCCAACCCTCTATTTTTTAGGCACGACACGAGTAGACATCAGCGAAAAGGAACTATTCATTGCATGGCATTTAGAAAATAGAATGTCCCTAATGTATGCATGACGGGTATGTCACGAATACAACACTTCAATAACAATGTGGTAACAAAGCGGTGATTCACAGATACATGAGCACAATAATCACGCAATTAGAGAAATCGACCTCACCCTTCTAAAAATTCCTATGAGGACAATTTAGGTACGTGCGTTTAACACTCCTTATTCTAATGCGAGGCGTCGCTTTCCATTCAAATAACTGTATGAAGAACTCCCCTGGCAATTTGCTGATCTCACATCCTCATCTCTTCCAGGTCAGATCAATGAGTGAGTGCTTCAGATTTGAAGCTATTTACAGTAAACCGTTTCCGTATGCATTTGAAAAACGCACAATCTAACCCAAGATAAGGGAAAAAAAGGAAAAGATTTGGCGACGCGTCAAGCACGACGTTGGCTAACCTCCAGGTATATTTCTAACTTTTAATTTAGAACAAAAAACGGCATTAATTCCAAGGGACTCTTCGGGAACGTGAAAAATAAAGACAGCTGCCTTTAACTAGAATTAAAATTATTGTACCGCCGCCGCACAAAACCAACATCAAAACGTTGTTCAGCATATTTATGGATTCGCTTTGATGATAGGAAAAAAGAGTGCGTGTTAAAGATATTAATTTGATAATCAACACCGCCGGAATAGCTCTTTAGATCTTTAGGCGAAATAATTCAGATTTCCACAATTGTGACAATTATTTTGAATTAAAAGTGCACATGGCAATGAACTGAAATGAGACCGCGCGATTATGTAACCGAGGACGAGCATCTGGAAATCCGGAACCAACCACAAATGTTTATCTGTTTATCTTTTTAATAAACTACGTTTCCGAATTAATGACGTTCTTACCTTTTCGCAGATTGTCTTGCAGTATCCTGTAGCTTGTGAACAGCACATACACTCTGCAACAAATGGTGAAATTACAATGGTCTTCTATACTTTGTCAAGAAGCTGGTTCACCATCATATCAAAATGCACAGTTTGGATTTAAAAAATCCATAATCACGTGTATCAAGTTACCCCCCTATTACTGTAAAATTTAAACAAATAACTAACCCAATATCCTTAAACTCAAGCTTCGAATTAAGATCAAAGAATCAACTAGAAGGTATGAAGAAAGCGTTCGCTACACTTGACAAAAAGGCAAGAGAGAGAAAGGCATCTGAAAACTAGTTCCGACTCTACCAACAAAAAGGTTTTTCTGTGGGGCCGTCGAAATTCGTATATCGTGTACAAAATACCTACGTACCCAAAATGTAGGTACTATAATAGTCATTCGCGCAGACTTTTCATCTTGTTTCTTTTGTTGAAATATGAGAGGAGGAGAGTGAAATTTATTTTTAAAAACGTTCATTACAAAAACAATCAAATTCAAATTCAAAGCCGAGTTGTCCTCTCTTAATCACACGCGAATAGCTGTAGGGATTTCATTGATTACAAGGAAAGAAAAAACTTTCCAGGATATGTACCCACTTCTCTTCGAATTTGCATTTAACAGTTTTACATTATAATAGTTTTCGACTTGGTTTTCGACCTGTTGGACCTGTTGGGGTGGGTTCTAGGTTTATTTCCGTGGTTTGAGTTCAGGAGCTCGCCATTGGCGGGGACAAGAACTGTCTCACTATATTTTTCGAGATCCATTCCATAACAGGTTTCATATAGCATAAAAATTCAAATATTCAGGAGTCACATTTGGCATTAATGCAAAATAAGATGGCGGCAAACACCGTATCCAATTTCAGCAAATATATTACGCTCCCACAGAAAACAAACAAAATCCTCGACTCATCGCACAAGCCGATCACAAAAATCGTAACTGAATTTTAAAAATCGTACTTGAATTTTGAAGCCACCCTACGTACACAAAATCTCCCAAATACCATAAATGACTTAAATTATCTAAACACCCTGTATATTAATCTCAAATGAAAGTCACCCACACCTATGGAAAATTCCTTTTTTTTAACTACCTACGCATCAAAAACTGCAATATACCCTAAATTGGATTAACACTCAGCACTAATCTTCAATCTGCCCCTAGCACATGATAAGTGTAACCCTTACTTCAAAACAGGATAAAAGTTAACTAGAGAACTCGCATTTGAATTCCTATAAACGTAATTGAAGCGACATTCTCAATGAAGGATTTACATTACAAAGGAAAAAGTAAAGGATACATTTATCTATATTTGCGAATCAAACACATACGACCAAAAGCTATCTACGTTCTGCCACCTTAGCTAAAACTTCGCCACGTTCTCTTTCTCGCTAAAGCTGAAAGCTAAACCACTCCCATTTACGCGCGACCAATAGCGAAGTTTCGTCCTTGTGCATTTTGAATTATGCACTATCCTTATCTGCCATCTTGAAAAAAATTAGCACATAGTGGAGACCTACTCATAGAGTCAGACAACACCCCTTATAGCTAAATAAATAGCACTATGGGAAAAAATACACTCTGTATACAGAAATCGTGATAAGTCTTCGGCTTTACTCGTTCTGCGCAGATGCCGCGAACAGGTATTTGTTGGGTATGAAGCTTGACAGAAAAGTTGGCATGGTTTTCTTGGTTTCAGCAATGTGCACGCGCACCGGCATTTCCAATGTGATGTTCTTTGTTTTGTTTTGAAAAGTATAATTATAGGTAGTAATCATTTTATTATTTCATTAATTCATCATTCTTTAAATTTCGTGTCACAATTTGTGTTTACATTTTGCATTAGATTTTGATAAGTGTCTATTGGAGCATGGCGTCCTCCGAGCTATTGTTTGAATCATATATTTTTGTTCATAATATACAGGCCTTTTACATTATTTTATTAAGAACTGATTTATGTAGTATGGTGTTGCTCCTGTATGTTTCTAATAACCATTTATACTGTGGAAAAAGTTCCAATTCTTCACCTTGTCTGATTCTTGCTCATTTCAAGCTCGCTGTCGGACGGTGCGTAAGCAATACGAGAAGGAGGGTCCTCTAATTAACATTTGTTCTGTTTAGTATGTGGGCTTGTTTGTATGATAATCGAGTTTACCTTGAACACTGCATTCTAGCCTGCACTTTTTCATGTTAAATTAATGGTAGCCCGTGCCAGAGCATACTCCATGCCATTTTGACGTTTTTCATATACATGCAATTTATCATTTTACAATTATTCACTAAATTCATCTCTAGATGTGTTCAATTAGTTTTTGTACTAAATTGATTTATATTATCTATGTTTTGTAGTCAGCTGTATCGCGTTTTATTAAATTTCTTTAACTGAATTTGACCTTTATTGTACGATTTGAGATGTTTATTTGTGTATCTCTTTGCATTTTGTTGCCCTATTTGATTTATTGCTGGTATCTGTGTGTGATTTTTCGGTTTGCATTTGCTCCGCGGGACGAAACCTCGTGTGTAACAAATTTCATTTTTCTTATTCTTTTCGGACGCATAAAACTCGCTTTATTGAATGCCATTCCCGATTGTGTCTCACGTCCCATTTTATTCGTGCCATCCAGGTGCAGCAGACTGATATGGTAGCTACACACCTACAGGTGTTCCTGTCAATTCTACTGTATCAGGTGACCTGTCAAATCTACCTGTCAAAACACCTCTTAATCCACATTTACCTACAGATTCACCGTCTATCTGAGTTGGCTAAAAATGTTTGAGAACTGAGCAATCTACCTTGAACAATTGACAGGTCGACCCAGGAATTCATGCACACTTACAAGTCTAGGGATGGAGTCCGGCAGGTGCCTATAGACATACTATAGACAGGTACACCTGCGATCTGTCAACTTTCACAACAAGAGTCAGGTCACTTGGTAGTTACGAAAACTGACAGTTTTTGCTCATCCACATTCCCAGATCGACTTGACAAGTCACCTGCGACGCGCCAGGTAGAATTGACAGGTGCACCTGTAAGTGTGTACCTGAAGCAGAAGCGGAATCGGAAACGTAAGTGTAAAAACAGCAATGTAAATTTAATTACGTAATTTATTTATCTACAAATCATTAATTTTTGAAATGGATTAATTTATAATAGTAATTATTATTTATCACTTACAATGTATAACATAACACGAGTAACTATCTCAAAACACCATTCGATTTAGTTTTAACGCCGGTCTTTCTCGAAAGTTCTCGAACGCCTCCGAACGCGCCCGAATGTTCAAGATCAAAACACATCATATTCCCCAGAAGGAATGCATCGCATTCGCCTTAGTTTCTTATCGCCGATGACCAATGTTTCATGAAACTTTGACGCCTGTCGGGATTTCTAGAATATTCGCTATTATAAGTTTGATAAAAACTAGAATAATTACGGTTGAGAAACCCCTCAAGACTCGCACCGTCCCGCTCGGCCAATCAAAGCGTACAGCGTGCCTTGCCATATTTGGAAAATTCCGGAATACTTCCGTTATAAAGTAGCGGAATCGGAGGCGGAAGCAGAAGTGAAAAATATGCTGAACTTCCGCACTTGCAGAAGCGGAAGCAGTGGTTTGTTGCATCACTACCCCAAAGTTGCCGACTGTAAGTATAGGGTAAGTCAAAATTGCAATGCCATGGACCCCTAACTTTTCTATCATTTCTAGAATTTAATTTATTGGAAAAAAAATATTGATACTTGAGGGGAATTTGAGACGAACTTGACGCAGAAGCAGAAGGTTAGGAGAACGTTATGGGCTAAAGTAAAAGAGAACTTTAGAAAATCTTTATAGAAAATTCAGTACCTTGATTAAAATACCATGAGACCTTAAGGAGAGACAAAAATGTAAGGGGGTGATGAGAGCTTGAGTGGAGAGCGTTAAGGAAATTTGTTAAAAAATGGAAGCAAACTTAGGGAGATTTGAAGAGAATTGTAGAGGAAGTGGAGGTGAATCTTAAGGAAAAGAGAGTTTAACATTTAAGTGGAAAACGGCAGAAGGTTGAGGTTAAAAAAATAATTTGAGAAGAACTGCAGCAGAACTTTATGGGAACTTACAGGAGATTTTCTGACTACTTGAACAAATGAAAAATACAAATAAAACGAAGAATTTCGTTGGAATTTCAGTGGAATTTAAGAAGCATTTAGGGGAGATGAGAAGAACTTGCGCTAAACATGAAAGGCACTTGAGAAAAATATTGGGGGAATTGAGCAAAGTTTGAGAGCAACATGAACAGAATATGATATCTTGAGAAAAAAAATTTTTGATTTGAATATCATCTTTGAATATATTGAACAACTTGATCACTCTAAAAATTGCTTTTCCGCTAGTGCAAATTGTTGGACACAAATTAATCCTAAATTTAATCACATTCGACACAACTTTATGTACCTATATCTCGATGACAATATGAATTTCACGTGCCTTCGCAGTAGGGGTCGATTACAGATCTTTAATCCCCAACCGGGCGGCAGTAAAAGTGGCACCTGAAACGAAGGACGAAATGAGCGTAGCATGCAAAACGATCTGTCAGTCTGTCAATCAGAACGAAATTAAGATATAATTGATTACGCGAGCACAAAAGCTGTAGGCTGAAAAAATGTGCCAGAAACGATAAGAAAGAATGTTATAGCACCGTGTAATGATTATTTAATGCAAATATTAAGCGAAGAACAAAAACAGGTTTCACAACACTTCAAATCAATCCAGATACGAAGCTTATGGCTTTTGGAAAGATGAACGAAGCGAAACGATTTAAAAAAATATCCACGGCCACTGAGGTATTTCACTCATTAGCATTATTTCATTGTCGTCCCGGTTGATCACACCCACATTTTAATTCAAGATAAACGTAAAATGTAATTAATTATTATGCACGCAGGAAAACAAAAGCAGCATAATGTATTCCGAATCTAAGCTAATGCGGTTCTGAATTATTAATCAGATCCGTTTACTCGATAACTGACCTCCACAGTTCGCTTAGAATCAATGAATTTTCGACTTTACATTCCGACCATGGGAAATTTGAAATATCCATCATAATTTTATATGACCATTTTTGACATATCTAAGATATTTGTATATTTTTGGAGTAATCGCACTTTTTCATAGCAAAACCCTAGCGATGGAGTTCGGAGGGCGATGTTATGAAACGACTAGCTTTTAACTTTGTTTTTTTGGATTATAATAGCTTTCCCGAATGTGACAATTTTAGACGATATATTAGTCTTCCACATAAAGAGTGGTCTCATTATTTGGCAGGATTTTGTTCATTTGGAGTCGTCGTTATTTGAGTTGTTGCGTCGTGTGTGATTTGCAGAATCGGGAGGAAGTCGAGTTAATTTACGGCCGTCAAGAAATCAGGTAGTTTATTGGTGGGAAAGGTTTACGTCACGGGATGGACGTCAATAAAGAAAAAGGTGAAGTAGTGAGAAGTTGGTTGTTTTGGAAGAACTGTCAGAGAATTCGCGTGAAACCGCGAGAGAATTTGCGTTGAACTGCGATAGAATTCGCATTGAACCGCGAGCGAAGCGATGTGCACCTGTAAATTAGCGCAGGGTGTTTTATATTTTGTATCTGAGATTTCGCGTTGTCTCGAGAGAAGCCAAGTTAACCCCCTGTAAATTACCGTGGGGTATATTTTGTTTGTAAAAAGAAAATTCGGGTGGCTTTTAAAAGTGAGACAGGGTTAAATTAACTACCTGTAAAATGAATTCAGGGTGACACCACAATAATGGAGCATGTATCACCTTCAGAGAATTTTGGGCTAATACGGTAGCGAAATTGAGCACATGTAAAACAAATCTGAATAGTTTTAAATGCGCAAATAAGTTTTGGTAGCCCTCAGTTTCTAAAAATTAGAAACTATTACGGTAAACACGAACAATCGCTGAAGTTTTAAACCCGCGAAATTAAATCCTATGACTTTGAAAGCTAGAAAAATGGACTTATTGAATTTCATGTTGTAATTCGTCGCATATTTTTTATACTACATCTACATTTGGCTGTCGGATCACTTAATTTTGAGTAACCGCATCTTGAACGAGTCATGTGCACCCATCTAGAGGAAAGCAATTTTTTATTGAATTTATTACTAGATAACGAGAATCCTCCAGCTTGGTTCAGTGCGAGGTTCAATGTATTATTACGAATGTGTAAACGGAATAGTAGCCCCTTGTATTATTTATCAAGGGAGAGCTAAGTTCGTAAGAAAAGTAGTTGCTTTAAATAATTTCGTAAAACCTCGGTACTTGAATTTTACTACGTAAAAAATCATTCTATATTATTGTTTCAAATGATTGTAGATAAATACAAAATTTGATTTTTTTAATATATGAGAATATTTTGAAATTCCGAAAGCTGTTGTTCTTTAGAAGATGAAGAGAAATTAATATTTTACGATTTCAGTTCTCTTCATTCCTAATAACCGAATTTAGTTTCCTGTGTTAATTCGAAACCAGCATTAAAAGGAAGTAACGTGGCCGTAGAGTGTAGTTTAGGTACATAGACGACAGACGCCCTCTGCGATTGGCACGAAATTCTAAGTGACAATTGTCATTACTGGACTATCGAATTTTGAAATTTCAACCCGGTCAATTAACTGAGTCTAATAAACAGTAGCTAATTAAATGAGTTGCAGTAAACCGCATCCGATTAAGTCGAATCTAGTCTCAAATGAAGCGCGTTTAATTAACTTAGATTTTGATATATGTCCAAGATTTTTGGGATAACCAGGGGCCGAGAGGTTAAATAAAGAAGTTTTAATTTTTTTGATTTCCCTCGTACTTACCTATCCCTTGGTCTAGGCTAAATAGCTCTAAAATAATTTATTTTCCAAAAAAATTAGTTACCGGGCGAAACCGGGTTTTTCAGGCAGGTGAAATGATTAAAAATTGGGAAAAAATAATTAAAACAGCTAAATTTTTCCGCGGGTGAAATCCCGGGGGTTGAAAGGGGTGGAAAGTGGTGTTTTGCAATTGTGGCAAAACTATTAATTTTAGACGAAAATGTTAAATATAAAAGTTATAGAGATTAAAAAATGATCTGCACTATTTTCACATAAACTCCAATTTTCCTAGAAAAACCGGAAAAACTGTTTTTTTCGTTTTTTATTCCTATTTTTGCGAAAAAATGTCGTAGGGGTTTGAAATTTGGAGGAAACATAGCTTGTTTTATGATAAAAAAGAAGATAATTTTTGGGCTCATAAAGTTAAACCGTTTCCAAGATCTCACGATTTCTGAAAAAAACCACCTCTTTTTCAAGGGGATGAAAAATCTTTTTTTCATCGTACAGAGGAAGAGGGCGCGGGTAGCAAAATTTTCGTAACGACTTACATTTTAATAATCAAAAATAAAAAACATTATTCTAATAGAAAAATTTTAAGAAAAGCGGCAAAAACGGTGCGAACAGTTTTAATCTTATATCGTTTTTGACAGTAGGTAAATAGCTTTTTTTGCAAATAAATTAACGTATGGGATCCGCGCTAATAAAAAGTTTTTGAAATCTGTCTTCTTTCTCGTCTTTAATGTTGCTAAAATATTTTGTTTTGTTTCCTAGTGCCCAACGGCCTTAATTAATCAATTTTATTATTTCGTTTTTCTGCATTTTTACCGCAATAAAAGCAATTCGAAGTAAAATCGAATTCTTTTGCTTCCTGAACAATTTGTTTTTATTCACTAACTCTTCTCCCTGCCTGTTTTACAGCTGATGGGATTAAGCTGGGCCTGTTGATCGTTAATTTACAGGAATTATGAATAAAATCCTCATAAAGTTTATTCCAGGTTTTAATTCTCAAATCATTTGCTTTGGCCGGTAAAACTAACGTTCTTGTTGCAGATTTTGCAAGTTTATCAACAGGCCCAACGCAATTGCATCAGCATAAAACAGGCAGGATGAAGAGTCAGTGAACAAAAACAAATTGTTAAGGAATCAGGAAGCAAGATAATTCGATTTTATTTCGAATTGCTTTTATTGCGGTAAAAATGCAGAAAAAAGAAATAATAAAGATGTTTTAACTAAAACAGTTGAATATAAGATAACAAAAGAGAATATTTAAGCAAACATTATAGAGAAGCAAGAAGGCAGACTTCAAAAAAATCTTTATTAACATCCAACATATTAATTTATCATGTCAAAAACCGTGTAGGTATATCTTAAAACTGTTTTTACAGTTTTTAGCGATTTTCTCGAATTTTTGCTATAGGAATAATACCTACTTTTTTTTTTGGTTTATTAAAATATAAGCCTTCCCAATAATTTTGCTACCTCGCGCACCTATGTACGATGAAAAAAAATAGATTATTCATCCCCTTGAAAAAGAGGTGTTTTTTTCAGAAATCGTGAGATCTTGGAAATGGTTCAACTTTATGGGCCCAAAAATTATCTTCTTTTTTATCATAAAACAAAGTATGTTTCCTCCAAATTTAAAACCCCTACGACATTTTTTCGCGAAAATAGGAAAGGAATAAAAAACCACAAAAAACAGTTTTTCCGATTTTTCTAGGAAAATCGATAGTTATGTGAAAACTGTGCAGATACAAAAGTTGCTCATTTTTTTAATCGCTATAACTTTTATATTTAACATTTTCGCCTAAAATTAATAAATGTACCTACGTATAAACGGTAACTATTTAGCATTCTATGCGATAATTCTCAATTTTTAGACTCTTCAGAGATAGACTTTAGAGATTTACAGTTGCTGAATATTATTAAAGCCCTCTTCCTCTGTGAGGATTTGAATTCATTGAGAACTCGATTGAGAGTGAAAAGTAATCCTACACACTCGAGTTATGGATACATTTCTTGAGTAGGTACTCATTCTCATAACTAGATTTCTTAGGAGAGCACTATTGAATAAGAATCACTCTTTATTCAATGCAGGCACTAATAATCAAATATATGCAGGGCACTATTAATATCAAAATCAGGCCTGTCCTCAACTGTTTTAATTTATCATGAAGACAGTTAAAAATTTAAAAAAATCACCCCAACATACAAAAAATATATATTGCAAAGCCATATTACTTTTTTGCTATGGTTTCTTTATTCTGGCTGTTTATTAACAAATTATTATACAATTATTATCTTTCTTGTGCCTCAAGTATTACTCAAATCGATTCTCTTTGGTACACGAACCAGCAGCGCACAGAAAGGATTGTTTATTCACGACGAACGATTAATAACAACGAGATAGGGTAATTAATGTGGTCTTTAATCAAAGCTCAATAATCTATAATTGGAATATTCTTTCCTAATATAATAATTACTTGTTTGTTAGAACAAATGTGAACAAGAGGAATTAATTGAATAAATTAAGACGGGCTGACAAGTGACTTTAATTAGTCGTTATTTATGGCATTGTTAATTAAACAAGAGTTGTTAAAACACGCCTTAATAATGTATTGGGTGTTTTGAAATTTTGGTATCACACATTTTTTTTTGTAATTAATGAGTTCGATCTATACCTTGTGCTAAAATCCGTACGGAATTGGCGGTAATAATTAACAAAAGAACATAAACAATGTTGTCACGTTTAACAGTTAATAACATTGTCACGGCTGACAGTTGACAAGCACGTGGGATAAGTGTCATGCAAACAACCGGCAGTCGCTCATCACCGCGTCCGAAGGCGCACTGACGTTACTTTCGGTTCGGCGCTTCCAAGACGGCGCGTTTGGATTGGGCAAGGTAAAGCAACAGACCGATGCCGAAAGTGGCTTCTTGAATAGAAGTTTATTCAAGCCAGATAATGCCATTGGCATGCCTCCTACTGTTTTAGTTTTCCCGCCAATGTGCTTTTAAAAAAAGGTCCTTTCATTGAAGCCCGCACTTTGAACTTCAACCCGTATACCCTCAGAACGCTTTCAGTCATAATCAAATGGGATTAGTCAAATTGTGAACATTAATTTTGGCCATCTCAAACACCCAAATCAAATATGCGATCACCTTCCTTGATTACCCCTAGCCTTCTTTCAAAACGGTAGGCGGTAATGTTTACTTGTGCTTCTCAAATGCATGCAGTGCATGCGAGTAGGTAAAAATCTTGCAATCTTCTTCAATTCACTTCATGATCATTCTAATTACCGCAATAAACGTTCATTTAAGAAAATTAAAGCCCTGGCGTTGCATATGTTATTTTTCTTAATAAATGTACAGTAATAAATGTCTCTTAATAAATCAAGTAAGATAATATGCAGCCACCAGGTTCATGAACGCAATTATAAAGGTCCTTTAAGTGATTAACATTTTAGGGTGAAAGTTAAAAGTGTAGATAATTTGGATTTTTGTCGGTGTAGCTGGTTTTTTTTTCATAAATTCTACTTATTACCTAAATGTTCATTCAGTCAATTTTGTTTTTACATTTTCGAGAAGAAGAAGAAGAAAATGCAAAATCATGGTGAATTGGGAGGCACTATCCAAAAAACCGTTCGTGAAGGTTACGTGACGTTAGGTTACAAAACGGTACCTATTAAATGTCGCAGATTCCAACGTTGAATGAGATACTTACTAAGAATGGATAAATTATATTGTTGTTTCAACGTATTTAATATGGCCTCGAATACGACATTACAACGCATCTTTAACATTAAATGTTTTTTGGGCGATCGGTCATTTCTGACTATTTACCATGGGTGTTTCCATGACAGTACGTAGAATTTGCCAGTTGCTATGATTACGACGACGCCAAAATTACTTACCGATCTAAAAACAGAACAGCAAAAATACTTACCGACGCCTTTTTAAAAATCAACAGTCTTACATTACATTTAATCTTTAATTATTATTAGGTACATTAAACGTAAAATTTGTGCCGTTGTTTCCTATAGCAAGACGCTCATAAAGTCCTAAAGGAAGTGCAAAGCTAGTAAACTACATCAGACACATGCACATTTTTATGAAATTATTAATTTCAATTTTGACATTTAAACTGGTTGCCTAGTGATGTACACCATACCACTTCGATCAATTCGATTTATTCTGCTCGTTAATTGCTTAGTGCATAGTTATATTGGTTGCATAATTTTAATTTCGATGGCGCAAAAAATGTTATAAGCACGTCGAACGTTAAGAGTCTTCTTTACCCAAGCGCAACTTTTTTACATTATAGTATATAGACGATTATAGTTGCAAGAGACAAGATGATATTTTTGCTTTGTCAACTCCTGTCTTAGTCCTTAACTAGTTCCTGCCGAGACTGAGCAGCGGCGCCACTTGTTACACTGAAATTGTTGATTTACCGCCCGCCAAGATACAGACTTTATTTACAAAAAATATGATTTCATTTTTTGGGGTAATGTTTAGAAGGAACTTATCTAAAAAACTGTCGGTTTACTTTTTCCATAAATCGTCTTGATCGCGAGTAAAAAAATGAAACAGATTAGCGCAATAATCGGCGCAAAACAGGTAATCTTTAAACAATCGATATTCAGTTGCTATACACTTTAAAAAAAAATAGTCCGAACATTTTGTAGATAAAGGCCTAAATTTATAAAATAGTTCCTTGAAAAAATTTTTATTTTAAAAACAACTAGAGTTTTTATGGCGGGCAGACTACGTTTCCTGTCGCTTGTCACTGTACCGGCCGCATCGTCACTTTACCGGCCGCATTTGTGACATTTGTAAATGTCTATAATGACTCCTGTCATCACTGACAGATTGACATTAATCAAAAGTTCTATATAAAAATTGAAATTTTATATTAAAATACGATTTGGGGTAAAATTTAATACAAAACTCGGAAATTAAAGTACTCGGCCCCAAAGGGGCCACGTTGATATTTCTTGGCCAGTAATGTGTCATTTTCCTGACTTTTATCTAAATAACACTTTTATAATTTCTGGATGGTAGAACACAAGAACATAACAAGGTTTCTTTATTAGATCTGAACTTATGAACGAACAAATTATACAATGTTATTATTTGTTTTGACATCACCAATGGATATATTTCTTGCAGACGTCTCAATCGCCCTTTGTGGGGTACCCTCTTCAGGATAAAAGGAGTTCCACTCCCCCCCCCCAACTCGTACTTTGATAAGAGGACAGAAAGAAGGGTAGTAGTTGGTAGAAAACGGTTCCATTCAGGGTAGAACATGTGTTTACCCCTCCCTCCCCTCCTATTTCCTAAAGTTATGCAAGTTTTACTTTCAAAAACAGCATCTCAGGAAATAATTCGTGGGGGGGGGGGGCTTTTTAGACAGCGAAATGTTATGGCCGTCTGGCACACCTTCAAGGTATAGGCTACCTACTGCAAAAAATACCAGGACTCTAGGACCACTCCCCTATAGAAGTAGTTCGAAACGGCAGAAGTGGGTCCGGACGGACGGACAAAACTCAAACAATACCACATTTTTTTAATTCTTAAAAAATGCGCTAAAAATGCAAATATGTGCGTGGTCTAAAGGGTTTCAATTTCGTTATACAGGGTGGCAAAGTTTGAATTTTTTTCTCGGATTTTGCGCGTTCTCTCGTATGTTCTGTGATAATTGTTTAAAATTGGATCATTGAATAATTGGATACTGTTTTATAGTGAAATGGACTGTAATTCTAAATTTTTTTTGCACTTACCCTTAGATGTAGTTTCTCCGCACAAAGGGATAAGGAAAAGGGACAAGATCACGGAATGACGTTAGGGTAAATGCAAGATTGAATTATCATGAAACTCCCAGTTCGTTATTCGCTTTTTTTAAATTTCACTGAGCGAATTTTCATTGCCTTTTACACGTACCAGAAATTTAAAATTGTATACCTAAATAAACGAAAACGACTTATTTGCGCGACGGACTTAATGCGAGTGCCGTTATCTACTCGACCCTGGCAGATTAGATGGGCAAAATAAATGTCATTATTATATTATATATATGCTTTGAAAACCAAACAGATACATCAATTATTTTTTAGAATCTGTACAATCGTTGAGTGAAGGATTTAACTCAATGCTACAATAAAGTATCAAAATAGTTGGTGGGGGTATACAGGGTGTTACATTTTCGTTGCCACCCTGTATAAAGAAAACGACGCCTTTTAGACGAGGCATATATTTGCATTTTTGTCTTGTTTTGACCAGTAGGTACTATCACCCCCCACATTTATTACCTAACGGCTTGTATAGAGGTTCATATTTAAAACAATTATTGCTAGCAGACCCGGCGAACTTCGTACCGCCTATCAAATCCCGCCAATTCCTATTTTTTGAAAAGCAAAGTTTTCCGAAGAGAACGCGTCTGCTATTTACATAAACAAATGAGTATTAGATGTCTATGGCTATTTACGAATATGACTTCCGTGTATGGATTTTATGCCCTTGGTCGGTCAGTCATTTTTGCACCCCTTCTTGTCTGCGGCGGGTTACGCCGCTTACGCCTAAAGCCGGTCCTGCCTGTTGTACAGCTACCTCGCATTTTACCTGCTTTGTATCCCAAACATAACTTATGCTTTTAACTTGTTTTTGCAATCAGTTATCATGTGGTGATCTTAGTGGTCCTTCATCGAATCGAATACTGCAATCTTAACTTAGGTACCCGTTGATGGTCTGTGACTTACCTAATACTTTTTGGCAACTCAGGAAAAATTACACGCAGCGAGTCATCACTAACTTATCTATCTCGAAATGTTTTGTGCGTAAGAAAACACACAAGACAAATGTAATATATTAGGTAGGTACCATACATACCGTGCGATCAAAAATGAGATACAAGTTACACGAGCGAAATACAATAGGTATGGAAAACAAGATGAATCGATTCAGCACAAGAATACATCAAACAACTGGTAAAATGATAAATTGCATGTACATAAACCCAAACCAGTACATCAAAATGGCATGACTCTATAGGCGCGAAAAGTACGGTTCAACACGCAAGCATATTTATGGTAAAATCGACTATCACAAACGGCTATACCTATAACCACATACTAAACAGAAGAAAAGTTAATTAGAGTCCCCCTTTCTTGTAGGTACCTAATGCTAAGACACAAGAGCAGACCGCACGAGATGAGGAAGCAACATACACATCAACGAATCGAAACTCTATAAAGTCTCGATCAGGAATACGCTTGCTACGTAAGCGTGATGACGATATCTTGTTTTTAATGGCGGTTCCGTAAAAGTTGGATATTATTTTTGTGGTATTTAATGCAAGTTTGGGAATGATTGCAACATTTTATATTTTTTTAAATTCTCTTTGATATTGTGATGATTTAATCTAATATTCTTAATGCATCACGTGTATGTGAAAAAAACGTGGTGTAAATATTACTCAATTTATGCTTTTGTTTTATATATGGTCTTGGCCAAAGTTAAATTTATAAATTTCGATCATTCTTTTAAACGTGGAAATGTTTGAAGTTTGATGTCTGTATGGACTTGTTTGTAAAGTAACTATTTTCGCCTTAAGTCACGGGAATAAAAAAAACTGTAACCACATTAGTTTCGACACCTAATATTGCAAGGACTTGTAATTTTCCATTTTGATATTAACAAAATGAGTAACCTGTTGTACAGCAAGGTACCTTGTTTTCTGTTTGTACCCCAACCAGTTTTTTGTATCGAATTATGACACATGGAGGCTGCAGATGCTGACACTGCTTATCAAGAGTTAGGTACCTTTTTTTTGATAATATTTAATAAACGATGGGGTAAAACAAATCCTTGCAGTTTTGGTCAATACTACTTGGTGTTCTACTGGAATGTTTGGTTTTGCGATGTAAATTTGAAAACAATCTCAATCTTGCCAGTTTCATAGGCCTAGGCCAGCGGATGCAATACTTCCGACATATTAATAGTAAAATCACTAGATATAGAAAGTACCGCAATCATCCGCCATTTTTGGGCAAATTTGCTGCCAACTTAAAAAAATTGACAAATAAAATCTGAATAGCTGTCATTTTTTATAACCTAACTTCATAGTACTGTCATGTTTTATAAAAATGTATACAGATATCTCCAAACAGGTGGAACAATCCCTAACATTAAAGTTACTAGAATCTGGTAACTTCCGCCATTTTTGGGCAAAAATCATGCGTTCTCTTTCTAACACACGAGCCCAATGGATTGCGGTACAGTGACTTTATAAGGACAGTGGCGACAACTTATCATAATCCGCCATATTGGAGCTAAAAAATTGATTGTAAGATCAATATACCTTGTCATGTCAAATTGTGAGCGTAGAATAATAAATGTCAGTTTCATTTAAGTAAAGATTCTTGTTCAAAACGAACGGCGCAGAAATGATCGTTTAAAGCTTTGCAGAACAACCTATGGGAAAACAAATGCCTCCCAAATTCAAAAAGGTATGGGTATATGGAAAACGGTATAATAAGTATGAAATATGGTGCAATATCCAAAATGTACATATAAATAATCATTAAATTGTGTTTGACATTTCAGTGTCTTCTGTCACTTCTTGTCCCCTGTCGCGTGTTGCTCCTTCCGGACTTAAAAGTATTTCTTTAGTCTCTTAAATGGAAGACAAAACACGTTGATCTAGTCCACGGAGTACAAGAGATCAATATTCCATGTGCTCCAGCAAACATGAAACCAATTCAAACGTATTTACGATCACAATTGAATTTGCTGCTAAATTTCGGATAAGCTGCTTCTCTAACCAGTTTTCTATCTAAACTCATTAGGTATTTAGGGCTTCTGAAAAAAATTTTACATCAATTACCAGTCGTAAGGTTAGGCACAGTTTTACATCTAAAAACACTAAGCGAATTACATACCTTATAATATCGTAATAAATCCAAACTATATGTATGCGTCTTTAAAAATCGAGTTTATATAAAACTGGAGACGGAAAACGTAAAATAAAGCAAATACAAGAAGCAAAGTGTAAACTAGTAACATGAAGCCGTGACAATTACAGGTGACACTGTCAAAACAGTATAATTAATAATTATAGCACGGAGTGCACCGCGTCGTTTTGAAGGTTTTCTATTGGCCAGTTTGGAATTTAGCTCCAATATGGCGACCGGAACCAACGACCAATCAAAAACGAGATACCCTGTTGTCGCCACTGTCTCTATAAAGTCACTGTAGATTGCGGTACTTTCTATATTTAGTGACTTTAATTAATAGTAAAGTATGACGCCACCTAGTGTTCGTTTGTGCTACTTCCAAGATAAAATCAAGCTAAAAAATCTTTTTATATTCTCCACCAAAATACTACTACCTTTGCCTCCATTGAGAATTTCCACATTTAAACTCCCAGTTACCTGCAATAACGCAATAGATCTTCCAATCCCACTCTTGAATTTCGATCGCCAAAACAAAACTATTGGTTGGAAGGAGTGTAAGAAAAACGACACAATATAAAAAGTAAACATTGATTTTAATGTCTATTATAATGCACACTCAAAAAAATATCATTTCCTTTCTACTGTTAAGTAGGTAGTATGTCAAATTTAACAATGCTTAATTGTAGACGTTATCAACAAAAACCAAAACATTTTCTTCAGTGTTCTGTTAAAACAAAACAGGATATTTTTAAAGACTGAAGCATTTGAATTTCATAAAGTCTTCCATTGTGGCAGGAACTCGTTAAAAAAGGAACTTACTCGGAGCACACTAGTTGCATATTTCCAATCATTACAGACTGCCGCTATTTGTGCATTACATAACCACTATAACAAATCTAAATATTGTATTGAAATACAGACTGCATGCCTTCATTAATACCTGCAACACATAGACCAACTACATAAATGCCAATTTTGTACTACATAGGACCTTTAGTAAAAGTTTGCGCCATTAACCTAACATAAAAAACTTAACTCGTAACAGACCTGACGAAAACGAAAGGAAGTCATCTCATATTCCTACGTGGGTTACTTTATTAATACAAAATTAACAATCAACATTCAATGTCGATTAGGTATATTAAATTTTTTGCATATAAAAAATTCGGAGATGAGTTATATATCGTAATATATTATATATTAAGTGGGTAATCCAGTTCTCTATAAAACTACAAACAACATCGTTATTATTACACCACTCTATTATCGTAAAGACTCAGTCATTGTAATCGAATGGGTACAGAATAACATACATTATATATAGACAATTAAAAAAGATCTCTCAGCTAAACAGCAACAAAATTATTCTTCGATGTTCAATATTTCAACACTACAAAGGGAGGTTAGTGTTCATGAGCCAAAATAATTCAAAAACCTCCTTTCGCGTATTGCATTGCAGATCATCAAAAATCTGGCGCGACCCATTCTGATGACCTATGAACGATGAGTTGAGGTTATGTGTACAAAAATGAACATGAAAATAATAGTTACAATGCTATATTTTAATTAGTGATAGTTTGGTATAGTGTACACTTTATAATAATCACATTATCAGTATCATTCAATAACCCGCTCGGTATTGTTACCACATTACTAATAACTTTATACACCTACAGTTACTTGTGTAATTAGTGGAAGTTATGATTAAAAACAGGAAAACCAAACTCCCTCGCTACAATCTGGACGTGGAAATGTAACTTTTGAAAATGTATTTACGATTCTTAGTAATAATGATGTGCCGATATTATACACTAATACAATATTACAAACAAATCAGTCTCAATATATACAAAAATTTTTTCAAGAATCATTCTTAAACTTAGCACTAACCAATCTCGATCACACTTCAATAACATAGAAAGTGTATTATGTGCACTGCTATTTCTAAAATATCCTTAGTACAGTTGCGTACAGTTTTGCTGTACTTATGTTCCTCTATAAATTTATAGTTAGTTTAAATTTCACTATTCACACTGAGTATTTAATCAGATTTTTTTTGTAATTTACACAACCAAAATTGTATAATACGGATCATAATTTTATAGACGAACACTACCAGTATTGAAGTCATATATAAATAAATTGCAGGAGAAAATGCTTATGTACAAAAACAGTTGAAACATCACAATGTTCTTTAATTTCTAATAAGATACACAATATAAATTGGTACCACCGACGACACTCTTACTTTTTGAGCCGGGTAGGTGGATCCTTAGAACCGCTGCCTCTTCTAGCTGGCACGACCTGGCACGTTGCCTGGGTTGGGGGCACCGTTGCCACTCCGGAGGCGCTTCCAATACAAATAAACATCACACATAGGTTTGGAACCGCACAGCAAGGGTGATGAGTGATGAAGAATGAATGGACATGAACGGAAATAATAAGAGAAAAAAAAAGATTTAAAATCATGACCTTTTGAATAATGGATACAAGACATGTACGTATTTAACAGTCACCGTTATCGCTGAAGTGCTCGTGCGAATTTGAATGCAACAAATTACAAATTAACTTTTTTAAACGCCCTTTCAATCATATTCAGCTGCAAAAACAAGTTTGTTTTCTTTGAACACTGTGTATATAGATAAATGTCAATTTTATTGTTATCTAATATAAAAACAGTACGTCAATCACAACAAAACTTATGTCTTTTTCTTCGCATGGGCTAGATAAAGATGAAAATATAATAGCATAATTTGTGTACACCTCACAGACGACCAGTTTTTTATACTAGACGACGCCTAGGAATTAAAGTGGGAGCTATTCCTACGTTTCGTAACATACGTACTTACTTTCATTAACCAATAGGTTAGAAATTTGCGGCTATAAGAAATGTGATACGTGTACCGCTTCATAATGAAAAAGAACAAAACTAACATTAGAGAAAATAAAGCGCGTTAAGATAAGAAACAAGTGTACAAGTAGATAAGAGTCAAAACGTTACAGTGTTGCCACGATCTCACAGACCTCAAAGTTCCATTTTGCGAAAAGCTGAGTACGTGATGAAAATACGGGATTTGTATAAGAGTACGAAAAAGGGAGTCGTTTCGTATTTGGAATTCAGCGAGGTACATAAGTGAAAATCTGGTGGGAGAGCTTACTAGAATCTTCGAAGAGAATCCATGTCGGTCGAGCGCTACATTTTTCGATCGTGTATTAATCTCTGAGCCAAACCCTTGGGTGCAAAATTACATATCGTGAGCGTAAAACAAAATTCCTCGCTAGGCGAATATTGTGATTTGTGCTATTTTGGAGTGAACATTTTTCATTTCGATGCATTGTTAGAACAAGGTGTTCGCCCTTAAATAAGTTATTATCACGAAAGAGTTGGGGTCCAAGGTGCAAAACATTGCGTTGCGCTATTTTTGTGAGTGGCTATACTCTATTCATTTTAAGAAGGTAGCGGTAGAAAGCATAGGGAAGCTTTGACCTTCACTGTGATTGGTTAAACCACGAGTCTGTATTACGCCGACAAATAAAATGTGTGACCAAGGAAACTAAAATTGGAACGAGAAATCAAACAAATCAATTTATATGAGTATTTATTTGAAAGTGATCAAACCAGAGCATCAGGTTTTAATTTTCAGATCAGTGGAGATAAAGAACAATGGAACACTTATTCAGTACGGAGCTAGGTGTGGTATTAATTATTTCACGCAAAAAATTAATTGTTACAGTAAAATTTTTACCAGTACCATAGAGAATAACATTTATTTTCTACAAGGAGGGTTTCTAACCCCTGTAAATGTAACTATCCCGTTACACATGGTAATTAAGAATCCCAAGTATTTGACCTCCCGCCCCGTGTGCTTCTCCCATACCAACCCTAAATCCCTTTTCAATTTAAAGTCAACCTGATAACCGTTACGCCATCTGTGCATTTCTCGTGCAAGTTCATTGTAGTTAGTTTCGTTGGTAAAGTTTTCACTTCCTAGTTTTCTTATTCTCCCGCTAGAGGTCACCTGAATGTACCTTTCTGTACTATTTGTATTATTAAGAAAAACCCCCAGAGCAAAATTGTCAGCGATTTTTCCCTACAAATGGCAGGATAAAAATGATTCTGAATACAAAAGAGAAGTTTATTCACAAAATGTTCGTTGTCTAAGTTCACAATTTAAAGGAACTGAACAAAAATCATTTCTGGCCCACCTTCTGCTAGAGAAAAACAGACTCGGATGAAACGTGACAAGAAATAAATGTGAGCGAAAAATTAATACACTGAAAATAGTATAATACTCACTTGGCTTGTTTGGAATTACTAATATCGGAAGTTGAAGCGTTAGGCGCCGCCTGACCAGCTCTTAATCTCATCGATATTCTTCTCTCTTGACTAAAATAAATGCGAGGTGAATCTACAAAATAGATAAAGTTTTGTTGTTCAACGCTTTATTAAATGATTCTAGAAAAACTATGCACACAGCTAGCAAATTTGTTTCGGTATAATGTATTCTGATTTGTCATTTCTACACTGTTTAAGAACGCATTGGTATGCAATATTTTGTGTCTGCTTGCATCAATGAATAGAGTGGAAACACAATCGGTGATAAACCCACACAAACCTTTAAGGACATACGTGTTAGAACTAAATTTAAACATCTGGAAATATTTGTATAGGATTTGTAAAAGTTTTATCTCAGGTCATTGCGATAAGAGTTGTTTTTCGCTGCGTAAAAGTTAATTAGTTTCAAGATAAAAAACGCGGGTGCAGTTTATCGTTCAGCGACGCATTAATTTATTAAGTGGAGGTAAAAGTTAAAAAGAAAAGGAAATGGTTTTTAATAGAGGAGACCGACGTCAATTGTAGCTTGTCTGTTTTGGTGGGCGCTGAAACGTAGCCGCTTATTGTTTTGGTGATTGACAGTTTGGCGTTATTTAAGCGTATTATTGCAATACAGTTCGTCTTGTCAGTTTGAAAGACAGTCAAGTCTTTATAATCGTAAAGTTCATGAACGTCAGTTGAGCGCTTTAAGAGATTTTTACTTGGTAACAGGCATTCTAATAGATGCTCTTGGACTTGCTTCAAAATATCTATTATTTATTGTTGTTCTCGATTTTCCAATAAATACAATTGTATTGGCATGTGATCTGGTTCCTAATCTTCGAAAGTATCTATGTGATGGCACTTCTCTTTCAGGATATTTCTCCCGATGCATTCTAACCGCAGCAAAGGTATTTTTTCTTGCCAAAATGTACACTTCGTAGATATCAACTTTTCCATTATGAGTAAAATTATGTATTTTTCTATTAAATTGAGGTTATTCAGCATTCCCAAAACAATAATAATTTAATAATAGCAACCGACAGGTGTTATAAACAACACAGTGTTATTGTTTCGGTCACACCACCCTTAAATTTGAATCCATATTCAACTGGTTTCTTCCACAGCACACTTATTTTAGGTAATTACAATGAAATAAATCTAAACATGCAAACAAAGTTGATACCTATCCACAGTTGGCGAACCACTGGTTAGGAAATTTTTTTTCGTGCTCATTAAAATAATCTTGTAACATAGAAATTGCTTGCTAATTTAACCGACCTTGTACTCATTTACTGCTTGAGATAGCAATAGTGGACCCAATACAATGAACACCCTGCGCGCCCTACATCCCTCGACGCAATTGGTCCTCAGAAAATAATACTAGACTTCCCTACCTTGTTATATAATGCCCTATAGTAATAACTTTGATATACATAAGTATACCTACATTTTGGTAACAAAATAATTATTGTGTTTTCACTTGTTCTTTTATTTATGTGCCAAGGAGCTCAAAAAACAATTTAACAAGGAAAAGTTCCGATTGATGAACTATATCCTACCTACCTGAAGCTGTAGCTTGTAAGCTACTGGAGCAACAGTATGACTCCCATTTTAATGCACTATTTCAAAGCAGTGGAAAAATGGAAAGCACTATAATCATTTCACACATGCTCAACAAAACTGTTCAACATGAAGGTGGTCTTGATATCTTTTGGTATTTTATGGAAAATGGAAAATAATAAAAGAACTTCAGTCAGAGCGCCCCTATGCTAAGTACTGGAGAGAATCTAAAATCACTATAGGTATAGGGTGTAACAATTAAATGCGTTAAACAAGTAATCCTTCCCACTAGCGATTGGATAAAGTGTATTTTAGGTAGATCTTCTACCTATTGTAATGGTATCAGCGTATTTATAGGTTTACATTCCGCCATATTGGAACAAACATGGAACAAACTGACTGACACTTTTATAGAAATCTACCTACACCTGATCGGCCGAACCGAAAGGGATCTTTTTAAATGTATTTTACGTATTTTGCAAAATATAGACAAGTAAAAAGCGTTCAATCAGCGATTATAAAGCATCTGCCATATGTTCCATTTTTCAGGAAGTTTTTCGGATAGGTATTCTCTCACAATTAGACTAGGTACGCCATCCTGCTCTTTTTTTTTGTGTCTTACATCGTTGCATTCGAAATAAAAAAATGCCACTCAATACAGTGTGTACTTTTTTTACGGGCCATATAAAAAAAATGTTGATGATGATTTCTCCGAAACACAACATTTATTGAAGACAAATACCTTGATATATTAATACAGGAAACTCACATTGCAAACCGGTCGCAAATTACAGCGCCACGACGTCGCGGTAGGAAGTGTCAACAGTAAGCTGTCATACCTACTTTGTTTAAACGTTATTGATGGTTTTACGTGCTTTGTGACAGATATTGTTATGGATAAATTGATAATATTGAGGTATTTAGTAATATCACATACCTTGGATATTAAATAACCTTGTTTGCTTCTTAATTTTTCGTCATTCCACACCGGACCGTGTAGATGGCGCTCTTTTCCGTGTCCCGCGTTACGCAAATGCAAATAGTGGCGAGTTTCCTGTATTTATATATTAAGGTATTTGTCAAAGATCTCTCAAAGTCTCTTGTACAGTTCAAAAAGTGGCAATGAGAGAAATTTTTTTTGTACCTGTGCAAATAACATCAGAAAAAAATAAGAACGTGCAGCAAATCTCGGATTTTCTGGCATACCTTTGGAAATAATCGCAATTTTAAAGCATGATAATAGCTGTTTAATTTCGCAACTTTTCCCTAATTTGACCATTGTCGTATCTTCTATGGTTTCCGAGCTCCCCATGATACAGGAGACATCCTTATAATAATATAATAATAATGTTTATTGTTGTTCAACAGAGTCATAATCCATATATGAACAATCGCAAAAAAAAGATAAATGTAAAGTCACTAAATATAGAAAGTACCGCAATCATCCGCCATTTTTGGGCAAATTTGCTGCCAACTTAAAAAAATTGACAAATAAAATTTGAATAGTTGTCATTTTTTATAACCTAACTTCATAGTACTGTCATGTTTTATAAAAATATATACAGATATCTCCAAACAGGTGGAACAATCCCTAACATTAAAGTTACTAGAATCTGGTAACTTCCGTCATTTTTGGGAAAAAATCATGCGTTCTCTCTCTAACACACGAGCCCAATGGATTACGGTACTTTCTATATTTAGTGACTTTAGATAAATGAATCGTTAAGCGCATACTGCAGTATTAAAACTATAGTAGGAACTAATATTTAAAATAGAAAACATAAAAATCAATATAAATATTGCAGTAAGTAATTGTAACTATACTTCATTCACTATAAGAAGGTAGTAGATGGCGCTGTGTTTGAAGATAAACACACACAGGGAAAATATAAAACGGCACCAAATTATTGTAGAGTAGAAATATTCAGCACTGCGAACAGAAATAAATCTTTGACAATAACAACTAATGACACTTCGGCAGTTTAGTTGGCAACATAAACTACCACCTTACAAAATTCAGCAGTCGTTTTATGTTTCATTGTAATACTGACTCGTGTTTTAACCAATCACAGTAAAGGTCAAAGCTTCCCTATGCTTTCTACCGCTACCTTCTTAAAATGAATACAGTATAGTAGAATAAATAAGTACCTTTGACAATTAAGTTCTAAACTAAAAATAGAATATCGATAAAAAGAGAATTAACAAAAAAAAAATAAATAAAGAAAATGAAGCAAAAAAAAAGGATGATGACACGCTTTTAGGATAGAAAGCACAAACCAAAATTACAATTTTCAGTTAACTATAAACAAAGCTTAAAACAGTGCATAATGAGTTGTAGGTAATGAATGTCACAGTTCTGGCAAATATTATAATTACTGGACATTATTAAGGAGGGAGTTCTGCGAAGGAGATTGGATTTGGGAGTAGGATATGTGAAGGTTTTTAAGTGCCTAGTAGAATGCGTTGGAATGGTAAAGGATAGCTTGTGAAGTAAGTAGGGACAATCTAAATAACTGTTGGTTAGTTTGTAAAGGAACTTAATGCTATTCGCAACTCGTCTATGGACACAGTGTATAAAAATTCGCTTATAAAAAAAGCTTTGAACAATCTACAGAATAAAAATATTTAAAAACAAAGCTGCCAAACAGTTTTTACATTTGAATTTCTTTCCTACATCAGTTTTTTTTAAGAATAAGTAATGTGGCTCTAGGGGTTCATGGGTATGAAGTAATTTATGTATGGTTCTATATGAAGGAATATCACAATTTTTTTTTCTCGTTGGTCCAAGATTTACCGAAAAATTTTTCTCACATCACCGTTTAGAAGTAATCCATTGTGTGGTAAGAATTTTTGAAAATGGTTGAGTGAAGTTATCCCAAATTTCTTAACATTGCAGAGAAAAAAATAATGAAACACCAATGTCGCACTTTTTTCTTCCTTTTCTCATTTACTCACATATCAATTACCTAAGTAATATTAGATTGTCAAGTACATACATAAATTTTTTTTAAGCGCCCTAACACAACATTTTGAGCAATCCTTTTATATGGGAAACATGTTTATTTTGGTCCCATCCGTACTTAACTGTTCTACCCCATTCCATACCTATATCTGTGATATTATTGGATTGGGAAAATGAAGAACTAGTTCATGATCTTGCTATTAGATTTCAGGAAAAAAAATAAAAATAAATACGTCAGCGTGGATAGTCTCATAATAATTATTTCTTTAAGGAAATTCTTGGTACCTGCCAATTTAAACTTAGTATCTGTCAATTGAGACTAATCTGTATTCATTTTAAGAAGGTAGCGGTCAAGGATACTATATAATATAAGGATTGCTCGATCCCTATACTTGTAATGTTGCCCAAGTTTAAGTCATATGTGACGTCACCAACGGACCTGGCTGTCAGAATTGACAGTTATAATTTGCTAAGTTGTCAACGTATTTGCATGGACGCCAGGACGCCGATGTGCAATATTAGACTGTAACAACAGCCGTGTTTGCACAAAAATCACTAACCCGGAAGTCATTTACCATAACTTCCCTAAAACCGATGGATTAATACGCAAGGAATGGATATGGTGCTGCAAGCGTTTCTAATTTAAATGCCTGCCTACAACACCCATTTGAACGTATTTTATGGTAATCCTAAAGGTCGATTCTCATGAGAGCAGCACCGAGCCGCGCGGCACAGAGCAGCGCGGCGCGTCGCTAGCAGCAAATTGTAGAGGGGTATTCCCACTTAAGCACCATTTGGAAGCGTGACGAAGCAGCGTTTCTGTTTGTGTTCAGTTTAAGGGAGTTAAGAAGAGCCATCATCGTCATCATCACCAGATGATTTCATAATATTTACAGCGGCACTATGCCATGTACACGACGAAAAAAGAAGAAAAAGAAAGCGGACGAGTACAATTAATTTTTCTATTCTTTGTCCGTCCATAGCGAATCCACTAACACACGCAAGCTCAACACAGAAGACAAATAAATCAGTGGCGGCTCGTGGATTTTTGTAGGGTAGTGCCAGAATTTTCTAGTAATTAATAACCCATACCTAAAATCCTAAAAGTACGATGTTCAATTGACAATTGGACACATTTTGAAAATATTTATTATTACGCTTGTACTTCTCTATCATCAAAAGTAATTAGATACAAACGCTAATGCAAATTACCGATAATTTTTTTGAAAGCATGTCTAAAAACTGCACGAGTTTATTTTAATATTGTGATTAACACGTTCGCTGCGGTACCGCTCAAAGTTGTCTCGTCGTTTCAGCGGCACCAGGCACATGTGTCTGGTGAGTGTTCTTTTCATTGTGACGATACCAGACAAATGTGTCTGGTATGATTGATTTTTTTTTATGATAATTTTTATCAACATGTGAAATTATTAAACGGTAATTTTTATGATCTTTACTTGAAAATTGTTCAATGAATGACGAACTTCAGTCGCAAGTGGCTAAATCAAAGGGTTGGAGAAAAATTCAACAACTAATATGAATACATTTATTTCGAAGAAACCATACAGTTATGTAACAAAAATTTATTCTAATTCACTTTAGCAATATTATTGTGTTTTTCATTAAAGCACGAGAGACACATAGCTGGTTTCTTTTCACAATCAGCACAATAACTGGACACTTTGGTAACTTTCTTGTCTGCTTCCTTACTAGATAAGGTAACTCTTAACTTTTTGTAGCAGCCAACACAGTTTCGACGGCGTTTTTTCCCTGGACCTTGTTCGACAGCGAATGTATGTATTCTTTTGGGAGTGGTTGCTGAGCTCATATTCTGTGCTCCAGAACCTTCTTCTACAAGCGCAAATGCAAGATTCTCCCTGAACTGTAGCATGTTCATGTTCTGGTTGTTTTTGTTCATTTGAAATAGAGGAAATACTATCTTGCTTCAACAAATTCAATATTTTTTTGCTACGCGAAGCCATTATAAACAATAGCAGTATCCGTAATCACCTACACATCCTGCAACACGTGCTCAAGCTGTACCGGACACATATGCCTGGTGCCGCACATGCGTAAACCTATTTTCACCGGGTACGATACCAGACACATATGCTTGGTAGACACTATGCACTATAAAGTAGATAAGTTGCGCATGAGGGTCATATAGGTACCTGTAACGCTGCTATTGGTTAAGTGTGTGTTAAGATATATCCTTCGTTGGAATGGGATAGATGGCATAATGAGTAGCCGCCGGAACGAAATTAGAGCTACCAGACCTATATGACTGGTATCGCAGCGAACGTGTTAACATTGTAATGCAGTTTTTTTACTGACAATTTGCTTGAATAAAAAATTATCAGGTCTACTTTTGATGAAGTACAACTAACGAGTGTAATTCGGGAGAATATTACTTGAATAATTCAGCTACTTTTTGATAAATTACGCTTAAAGTGTGACATTTTGGCGACTTAATTTGTGTCAAATTGGGCATAAGCACTTGTATAAAAACACTAATTTAACAATTATTTTGCGTTGTTATAGGTACTATAGATACGGAAGCTATATGGGAATTATCGCCGGGATCTATGACCTGCCGGCAAACTTCACTGTACTTTAATTGAATTGAGAGATAATTTCCCGGTTCTGCTTCATATGGTATTTATTACATTACATATGAGGGTAATATTCTACATAAATAACCTCCAACTCTCAAACGTAAAGCTAGAAATTACGTTCAAAACCAAACAAACAAATGATTGCCAAGGACGAGCCAGGCACAAGCTTCGGTTTAATTTTCCGTTTAAGTATACGTAATGTGTGTGCTACGACGCGCCTAGATCTTTGTCGCTCTCATGAGATGTTAAAATCTATCTCTCTCTTCAAGCGAGCCAAAGTGAAAATGGCTCATATTGATGATGCATCGCGGGTGGCTGATGTGTACTGTACGTATAGCGCTGCATGCGGCTGCCAAACTTTAAATTATTTATTATTTTTGAAGGAAATTATAAGAAAATTTAAATATTTCGAAAATAATAAAATATGTTTGAGCGGAATGGAGGGTAGTGCCATGGCTCAGTGGCACTACCCCACGGGCCGCCACTGAAATAAATGCTTTTCACAAGCCGCAGCACCACGCTGATCTGCTTCGCTCCTCGATTCCCACTTGTCCTTCTACACGCAGAGCGGCGCGTTTCAAAACAGCGCCGCGTATTCCAATGCTTCCCGACGCGTTTAAAATTTGCTGCGCTGCACCGCGCCGCTCTGCTCTGCACCGCTCTGCCTAGGTGAAAACGGATCTACTTATTTACATGCGAACAATTGAGAGCAGCTTTTCACCGCGCCGCGCTGCTCGATGCTGCTATAATGGGAATCGGCCTTAATCAAAGCATGCGCTGGTACTGGGTCCGCGAGTGACGTCACTACACGCGGCGAAAAAATTCAGTGATCGAGCAATCCTTATATTATATAGTATCCTTGGGTAGCGGTAGAAAGCACAGGGAAGCTTTGACCTTCACTGTGATTGGTTAAAACACGAGTCAGTATTACAATGAAACATAAAACGACTGGTGAATTTTGTAAGGTGGTAGTTTGTGTTTCCAACTAAACTGCCGAAGTGTCATTAGTTGTTATTGTGAAAGATTTATTTCTGAATATTTCTACTTTACAATAATTTGGTGCCGTTTTATATTTTTCCTGTGTGTGTTTATCTTCAAACACAGCGCCATCTACTACCTTCTTATAATGAATGCAGTATATCTCTGAAGGGACATTTCCTATCTGTCATTAGTCAATTGTCACAATTTGTCCATAATCATTTAATATTTGTCAATAAGTGTCAGTCCACAGGTCCAGTCTCATTCCTTTAAAAAAAATAATTGTGTCCTGACACTCCTGCGTAATTTACCGAAATAGCTGTTGCACAGCGTTCTACCTTTCCTACTATGTGTTCATCCACCTATAAGTGTTATTAATTAAACGAATGAGTAAATTTGCAACACAAATTGTATTTATTCACAATATTTTACAAAAAAAGAAAAGTGAAATGACAAAACAGAATATTGTCGCTACATTGCATCCGAGAACCTCAATTGAGTTACATCGTTACTTACCACTCGTAATAATATCTTCGAGAGGATTTACGGGTGCATTGTTAGAAACGGTAATTGTTCGTCTCGTCCTCGCCTGCGGCGCCGAAGGTGTGGAATCGCCCGGCGTTACGGCGTGCGACTCGTACCTCTGACCCGAACGGGTTGCGTCCTCTACGTGGCCAGCGCGCGACCCGCCTTAAACATTGCAAGTTGCCATTAACCATCAAAAAAAAAATGTCAGAACCAATTACCAAACTTAAGCATGTTCCAGTCAAATACATAGTCATATGTAAAACCTTGTTTATGAAATAATGTCCTAAATAGTTGTCTTAAATAACCATAGTCCGGCCTCTCTCCAAAGCGTAATTGTCGGCAATAATTCAAGTACGTGGGAAACTCAATCGGATAACCCTAAAATCAGGACAGGTGCCAATTGTTCGGAAAGGATCAAGCAAGTTTACGGTACCTTGCAGAGATCTTCGATGGGAGTCGACATTTTCTTTTCGGAAATTCGTTCATACTTTTGCCGCTTCGTGGCCGCCTTCAATCCCTGCCATGGTAACGAACCTCTATTGAAGTACATTAAAACGTAGCCGAGAGACTCCAAGTCGTCTCGCCTCGACTGTTCTATACCTAAATGTGTGTTTACGCTCGCGTATCGCGCCGTACCTAAAACAATAAATTTTCGATTAGTCTGCTGCAAAGGATTCAATCATAGTCAGATCTATGTATAAAACTCTTTTTTTAATTTCCCATTTTTCGTTTATAAAATGTTTCTTTGGCTATTTTATGTAACCCCCATTTCCTATATTCTTCTCTTGTCCGGTAACGAGACCGGAAACTGTATCACTTTTTTTTTGTGAAAAAAGCCGGAAGCCATCCGCCGCCTTCTTGATCCCAGGAAACCGTTCCTTTATCCACCTTAGCCCGCGGACAGGTTTACGTGACACCTCAATGTAAATCAAACTTGCTTACTTAACTAATGCTAAATTGTGCTTTGAATTTGCAGCAACGTAACCGCAAATAAAAACGACCAAACTTACAAGAATTGTAAGGAAGTGAGGCGGCGCATCCTCCAAGATTTTGTACCAATACATCGAAACAAGAAAACCTCGACCTCTACAAATAGGGACTTTGAAAATCAAGTCAAAAACTGTTACAGCAATTTTTAGCGCGCTATTGTCCGCACTTTCTCCGTCTGTCCGTCTGTATCACTATAGTAGTCCTCCAGTTTAAGCTTTCTAGTTGAGGTTTCTTTCTTATACCACAGATTAAATACGGTATTTCATCTGTGCTTATACGGTGTTCATTTCCTTCTCGAGTTATTACTGATTCTGTACGGGGAAAATGCGCTTTCGTCAGTCGCGAGTGACCTCGTTTTTAACTTGTTTTTTCCTTTTAATTTTTCCCTCGGCTAACTTAAACATGAAAGGTGAACCAATTCTACATTCGCCAGGGATTTTCAGAAATTAAGTAAATAATTTTACGAGCGCAAAACTGCTATTGAATGCGAACATTTTACTGCAGGGTAAAAGCGTAATCCACAAAAAAAAATGATTGAAATCCTGAATCTATAATCTGTAATATGTTGATTGAAAGAACACCCAGCTTCCTATTTATATGTCTAGTTTTTTTTATTCTCAAAACCTTGACTTATTTATAGCAAAAAAAATACGAAACTATTGCTCTGACCTTACAGAAACAGGTACTAATTTCTTCTTTATTTAGGCTTTTACACACATGTGAATTGCATAATTTACAATTAGTAATTATTTCATTAGCACACAACAATGTCATATCATGTAAATTGCAATGCCCATTTCAAGAGTGTGTTATGAAACGTGCCCATTGTGCGTTCACTAGAATAAAGGATCGTTTCCAACTTGCATAATTATATTTATTGGTAAATTTCGCGTTCTATATAATCATTGAATAAAAACACTATATAGTGTTTTTATTCAATGATATAATGTTTCTCTCACATAACAAAGTATCTCCCCAACGGCACCCATAAAAACGTAGCTTTCATGTTTTTATTGGTGTGAAGGGCATTTATTTAAGGATCTCAAATTCTAACTAAAATATGGAGCACATCTTACTTTATCTGGTTTTATTGTTATTAATCTTGATCATGTTAAGAACTTAAGAATTTAAAAAAATGCACTATTTATTCGTTTTGGCGATCCGTCGGTCTGTCTGGATGCACCTCTACTATTTAGAAATTGTCCTAGAGTCGACACAATTTTTTTTTAAACACGGACTTTGAATTTGACTGAATAGGGCTTTCATTGGTTTGTGACTTTGGGGAAGGGGGAAGTGATAATTATTTTCGAAAAAAATTAAAACCATTTGCTAAAAAGTTAGAATCTTCTACCTGACATATATTATATACAGTACGTTCCAATAAAAGGTTCACTATTTTTTCACCTTTCGAAAAAAGTTATTCTTTCCTGCTTGTTCTAAAACTTGAAATGTACGATTTAGTTTTCCTTTAAAATGCGAGGTTTTCGAATAAGTACAAAAAAACCTATTTGGCAACAAAAGTCCAAATAATGACAGATCAAATCATGTAATCACAAACCCATAGCGCATTTTCCAGATGTTTCCCTTTATGTTTTCCTCATGTTCATCTCAAATTCTACTCAAGTTCTTTTTTTCCTTTCATGTTCCTCAAAGATTTCTCAGTTGCTCTTAAGTTCCTCTCAAGTTCTCTTTGCAAGGTTCTACAAATGTCCACCTCAAATTCGTTTTTCTATTTCGATTTTTAAATGTTCTTATTAACGCACTGTTTTCCGCTCAAAACAGTGCGTTAATGAGACCTATTAACGCACCGTTTTTAAGTTGGTATTAAAGAGGAAAACCTAAATTCACTACCCTATTTGACATTCGATTGTATTTATTTACAAATTAGGGTTATGTTTTGATGTACAGAAAGACAAGATTCCCTTTCTATTTGATTAAAAGCGAGACATGTAAGGCTGATAAAGTGTTAATCAAATTACAAGAACAATATGAAAAAACCACTTATTACTTTCTCCCAAAACTCAAAAGGGAATTAAATATTACGGTATGTAGCGTAAGAACCGAGATATCAACAATGTGGAGCTTTGAGGTAAATTTTTACATTAATGATTAATGCCTCTTTTTGTAGCACGCTCAACATCTACGTGCAATCTGTGACCAATGATTACTAGTACGAATAGTGTACCTATCTTCCAAAATAGACCTACAGGTTATAAAGGAGCTTTCGAATGGGGAAAGGATGACAACGAGGATACCTTCGGAACACATTAAACAATATTTTAAAGAAGCAGCTTATTGCTTTTAGCACTTGTTCTGCGTTATTAATATCGTGAGCCTGATTTGTGTAGTATCGTTATGCTCCTAAGAGGAAGTGACAATCTGAAGCCGAACCTGTCGTAATGAGTGACACGTATCACGTAACAACAACCCACTAAGGACCGATCCGTTAGTGACCGTTAATGGCCAATCGCGAAAGGAAACCTTTGTTTTTCTTTTTATGTCAGTCACCAATATAAGTAGAAGCAGTGTCATAAGGGCGAAATCTGTTAGGTGTTAGCTTTGTCGTTAAATCGACAGTGACACGACTGAATTTCACATAACTTATATAAAAGGACGAAGGACTGTATTTTGCCTTTATGAATTGTTCCACATTTAATGTACTAATTTCTGAAGTTTATTAATTAAAACAAAATTGATGAGTGTATTTATTTAAGTGAAATATTTGGGACGTCGTACTGCCAACTTAATACAACCTGCACTAATACAACTTCTATATCAAAATTCCCTAGTTACAAAAAGTTACTATAACATCATTTTGATAAAAATTTCTCGAAAATATCTTCTCAATAGAAAAAATAGTATAAGAAACTTGTTTCATAAGACGCCCCATCGCACTCGTTCATTAGAAAACTCGCCGCTCGTTTTCTAAACTTGAACTCGTGCGTTAAACGCGCCACTTATGAAACTTGTTTCTTAATATACTATTAAAATTTAGATATTCCAAAAAAATATCTGCAAGTGGGTATAATTATTTGCTATTTAGTAACAATTGCAGTTTACTCTCCATTACGTAATTTTACTCTCACTGACAAATTTGATTGATTGGATTTTCCTTGTATTCCAGCAAATTTTGTGCTTAATTATGGATCTACGAGTCATGCAGAGCTTATTATCAAGAATATTTTTTTTATGAAATGTAAGATATCCTTATTCTCCATTTATATAAAACTTTTTGGAACACACTGTAAGTATATTTAAAAAAATCAAATTTTGTATATTTACAGACCTTTGTAACAATACTTTCTTAGTAGATGACTGATGGGGAAAGGACTTTAACACATAAACCGCCTGGTATCACATTTATCTGGCACTATACAAGGTGCTAGTGAATAAGTGCGACAACCTTCAGGGGGTGATTCTGCATGAAAAAATAATGACAGTTTGCTATATCTTTCGTTTTCCGAGATACAGGGTGTTTTAAAAACTGATTATTTATTTATAAAACTGATCAAGATATACAAATGAAATTTGGTTGGTTTTAAGAGTTAGGTATTTGTTGACAAGAAATAAAAAATTTTATATTCATCATTTTGCATAAAAACGGCATGCCATGCGAAAAAGAAGAAAAACACCCAGTATCTCAGAAAACGCAGCATTTGCGGACAAAAGTTATATAGCAAACTGTCATTATTTTTTCATGCAGAATCACCCCTTGAAGGTTGTCGCACTTATGCACACTGTATAATGCAAGAAGAAACAAGCAGACACTCCATTTTCGAAATATAAACATTCAAGTTTTGACATCATCAGTAGATGCATCTCGTCCAGACGTTCCACTTGCCCTTTATGAGTACCCTCTTCTGACATTTCGTTTTCCAGATATTCGTTTCAACGAATAAATATGCCTAATCCAGACGATTTATTTTCTCTGTGTGAGTACTCTCCTGCGACAAATCGTTTTTGAGATATTTGTTCTTCCAAGTTTTGACATGCCCAGTGGATCGTACCAATCGCTCTTCGTGAGTTCCCTCTCCCGACACTTGGCTGTACACTCAGCATGAAAGATGAAACCGAGGATGAAACCACACCCACACCCCCCCACTCTCCTACTCACATTGATCTCGAAAAGAGTCGCGGAGGAAACTTATAGTTTGTAGAAACCAATTCCTTTTGATGTGACTTTTTATTAAAAAATATCTTGTATGGCAGAACGTGCCCCCCCCCCCCGCGGTTTTGTTTTAAATTTCCACTTGAGGCATGCGTATACAAAATCTGCGACAAATTGGTCGTCGCATGTAAACGTTATGCACATTTTACTTTTGAAAGAAACAGCACCTCAAGGAATACTTTATACCGAAAGATGAAACCGAGGATGAAACCACACCCACACCCCCCCACTCTCCTACTCACATTGATCTCGAAAAGAGTCGCGGAGGAAACTTATAGTTTGTAGAAACCAATTCCTTTTGATGTGACTTTTTATTAAAAAATATCTTGTATGGCAGAACGTGCCCCCCCCCCCCGCGGTTTTGTTTTAAATTTCCACTTGAGGCATGCGTATACAAAATCTGCGACAAATTGGTCGTCGCATGTAAACGTTATGCACATTTTACTTTTGAAAGAAACAGCACCTCAAGGAATACTACCGCCTCCCCCCCCCCAAACCTTTAAGGCAATAAAATTTCATGGCTCTGACTCACCTTCAAGGTATGGGCCACCTATTCCAAGACAATTCCCCTAAAAGTAATTCAAAACCGCCGAAGAGGGTCTGGACGGCAAACGGATGTACAAAACGCAAACATTTAATTCTTAAAAAATGCGCTAAAAATGAGATTCCTCTAGATGGGTGCACACAAAAAAATGTTACACAATTTATCCCCTGACGCAAATACACCGTATCCAACGACTCACAGGCGCCTTAACGCATTTAAAAAGTCAGCACCGTATTTAAGGACCACTCGCCCCCGCCACACAACCAAAAAAAGTTTAAGAAATCCTGCCAAAGAATGAGATATGTACAATTTGTATACTTGGCTTCAAATCTCGTCTTTGTACAAGCATTCTTCTACGAGCCCTCATTTGCTGCCTTCCAGCCAGCCAACCAGCCAACCAATTTGAGATCAAGTTAATACATTTGCAAAAATCTAGGCAATACCTAATATTGCCCATTGCTTGTTGCCAGTTGCATATTGCTCCGGTGTGCGAGTATCCTAAGATATGTCGAATCGCATGTCACTCATAAATCTAACCCAACCCTAACCCCCCCCCCCCTTGTTTGGCCGTCTCTTGTAAAAGACAAAAAAAATTTTCCAGTTGGGTTTTGAGCTTCTGGGGATCAGCCCAGCTTGGTTGGAAACTAATTTGTGACAATTTTAGTTTCACAAAATCAAGGGTACATTTGAGATTTTTAAAAAACGTTTTTTGCATACCAGTATGTGGCATGTTATTTCCTTAACGGTTTAGAGCATAAAGGGGCTTACGGTATTGTGGTTTATACCAGGTGATCAGTCTTTTTGTACTCGAACAAATTGTAAAATAGTTCAAACATAAAGCAACAAATGCCAACATTTTTGGGTTAGATAATATACTTTCGTTCGTACCAACATTGATCTCTGTCTCAGACACTGTGTGGCGTCAGATGGTTCGTATGTTACACCTTTTAGGAACGACATAGAACGCGCCTTTGAACGTTGCGTTGCGGTATCGCGAAACAATGCGGACGTTTCTTGGAACTCTTGATCTCCGCTCTATATGCCATGGATCGTAATAAGGGTACCCACTGCTCGTTTAGTGTTAATAAGACGTCGCGTTGCACGCCAATAATTTACGCGTTGCGACGTGCGGTGACTCCCACGCCTTTATGTATGTCGGCCCTATTGCACGATTTTCTGGCAATCTTTCTTAATTCCCTGCAATCCCTCCGAATTTCCTGCAATCCCTCCGAAATCTTGAAGATTTCCACAATCCATCTACATTTCAACCGGAGTGGTTACCCCTCGGGTTACCCCCTGGTTCGCTCTTTTTGAATTCAGTAATTTATAGCTCTGGCACCCAAACCAAGAAAAATGTCAACTTTTTTAATTATCGAGATATTTTTTCGGAATGTTAACTATACAGGCTGATTCAAATTCGACGACCCCCATGGGGATCTCGGGAACTGTACGAGATACGTAGGTAGTTTAAATTTGGCAAAGTTGCGTATTTTGATGCTTAACAAAATGCATCTTTCAAACTGAAAAAATTCCGACTACTTTCGGAGATATCTGGAAAACACCAACATTTTGCCAAATCGTTTTTATTTTTTACTGAAGTTATTTAAAAGAAATAAATAACACATTATTGGCCACTTTTTTCCTTCTACAAGATGCTAGTTTTAAATCTTAAACCCGACGTTTCGTCTCCGGTTGACCATCATCAACTTTGTTTTTTCTTATGGAAATAATTTTTACTTTTTGTGTCATTTAATAAAGAATTTTTTTCAAAAATGTATCCAAAAATCAAAATAGATCTAGGACTTTCGCACGTTTTCTCAGTTTTTCATTCTGCACAACTTTTCTCAATACGATTTTGTGTGTACCTCGTCTTAGAGCACTTTATGAGTATGTAAAAACGTTTTTTGAACATTTGGAAGGCACCCTTCATGTTGTGAAACTAAAATTATGTCACAAATTTTAGTTTCCAACCAAGCAGGGCTGACCTTGAGAAGCTTAAAATTCAATTCGGACATTTTTTACCATTTAGAAGAGACGACCAAACAATCGGGGACACACTGTATACTACTCTATAAGTCTTATACTACAATATACCAATCTTTTAATAAAGTTATGTTTTTCAAAACAACAAAATGCATCTTTTCAAATTGTTTATTTAACATATATAAAAAAGAAAGACTTTTCCGCCTCAGTTCATATGCCATATCAAATACTGCACCTTCAAAATAAAACTAAAAATTTAAACAAATCAAAGAAAACAAAAATTTGAAAATAAGAATTCAAAAACTTCACAAAAACCTAAGACAATTCAACATTCAAAAAATGCGGAAAATTCCATGATGGGGATCTTAAAACTGGATACCTGAGTAATGAAAAACTTTCCTGAGAAGAACTATTGCGCAAGCGCATCCACTTGTTAGCGAGACCCCCATCTCATGGGTGATAGGCGAGGTGGTAGGTAGACAAAATGTCAAGTTTTATCATTTACATACAGGGTGCCTGCCCCTGGCTCAAGGGGAAAATCATTTCTAGTATACACTACTTGCATTTTGTAAATTTTTTTTGATATTTTAAAATGTTTTTGAGAATTTTTAAGAATTTTTTGGAATTTCCCAGAATTTTTTAGAACTTTTCTGAATGGTCTAGAATTTTTTACCATGCACACTCAATTATTATTTTATACAAACGTTAACTGTAATTTATTCTTGCTGCTGAAATATCTTTGAGAACGGGTGACGACCATGTTCCGGACATCACATCGAATGTCGCATCCAATATTTTGTCTCTTTTATATTTTAGCTGCTAAACGGACAGACATGCCTCAAATCGCTCCTTTGTCATCATACAATACTCCATTTTATCGAACAGTACACTGTACAGACAGATTGCGACACACAGCGAATTACAGTATAAATTCGTGAACAAATCCTAATTTTATTTTCTGATTTACCTTTATGGCGACATTAGGTACAATCCGTAGGTTTGGCACTGCCTCACTTGCCTCATCGGATCAACCGCCACTGATTGCTCTTGTTTCAACGCCCAAGAGCAATAATCACAATGCGAAAAACAATATGGGGCTACTCGACAAATGAATTAAAGAGACACAATTTCTTTGTGAATGGCAGTTATTTGCCACTGGATAAGTATCAAATTTGTACATAGCACTATCAGACATTACTCTCTGTTAACTTCCATCAATAAATACACACAACTCTCAGATAACCCTCTTATATAAAACAATAGCGAAAAAAGAAAAATGTATGCCTTTTGTTTTAGGCGAACACTGTATCCTTAAAATATAAAGAAAATGAAACGAGACTTACCGGTTAAATTTTTGTTCTCCCGATACGGTATGTGCTGATGTGTCCTACCATCACGATATTTCTTAGCTAGTCCGAAATCGATTATGTACACTAAATTACCCTTTTTACCCAATCCCATGAGAAAATTGTCGGGTTTAATATCCCGATGTATAAAATTTCTTGAATGAATAAAATCTACACGTGTAATTAATTGGTCTGCTAATAGTAGCACTGTTTTTAATGAGAAACGCCTCGAACAGAAGTTGAATAAGTCTTCTAAGGAGGGTCCTAACAGTTCCATCACCATCACATTATAATCACCTTCCGAGCCGCACCATTTAATTTGTGGAATACCGACTGTAACGCTACGATTAAACCCTCGATCGAATAGCGGTTTCGACTTACCTCCACCCTGCATCATTTTGTAAAATTTCGATTCGATGTGTAACTGCGGATGCCTCGTTTTTATGCATTCTAATTTGATTGCCACTTCTTCCCCCGTCGAAATGTTTGTGCCTGAAAGAAAGGCGAACGTAAATGCGACGCAAAACTCACTCGCGGATTACATGACATTTTATCTATTGTTTACAAATCAACACCTGATATGAAAAACAAGAAGACGTTCACCCACCTAAATAAATGTCGCCGAAAGAACCGGACCCAATTTTTCGTCCCAGTCTGTATTTATTACCGACTCGAAGTTCCATTCCAAAATAATTTGCGTCAATTCAATCAACAAAAGACATATGAGCTAGGATTCACTTTTTAGGCGGCCATGTTTACTAGCCAACCACTATAGAGGAAGTTTGACGTAATAATAGTTTTTGGAAATGGAATTTTTATAGAAATCTTGAAAACAACAAGCACTACGTACACTACGCTTCAAAATAACTTTCTTTAGAATTTTTTCTTATCACAGATATTTAAACAACCAATTTTTATATGATCTACCTACAAAAAATGACATCTTATCATTAGAATTTTTAGACGACAAGTGAGTAGTAGTGACACACGGTAGTCAAATGGGAAGTTTCCAGTTCATTTACACAATTTATTGTCGACGTACGTCGCTTACATTGAAACGGGAGTTTACCCGTAACAAATAATAGAAAACTGGAAATGTGGGGTCGTAGATATCGTCATGTGCGCTTTACAACTGCAACTGTGCCGAACCACAGAATAGGCATTGTTGTTTGTTATAAGTTCGTTTAAACAATGGTTCGGTCTTGTCATTTTATTTCTAATATACAGTATGTCCCTATCAAAATTCTTTACTTATAGGGCGTTCGCTTTGTCCAGTAAGCCAAAGTCATCAGGCGATATTTACTAAAATAGTAGGTATTGGTTCAAGTTTTTCAGGAGCGTACTCTGCTGGCTTAAGCAAGGTTGCCGTTGTTATCGCTTCATTTGCGGTTCATTAATCACATTATAGACAGATTTATTACTCGTTGTAGTTATGTGTTTTAACATATGATTTTTAAAATTAATTTCGATATTACTTCGTAGTCTCACTGAGCGTAATTAAGGCCGATTACCACTATATTAAGTCACTAAATATAGAAAGTACCGCAATCCATTGGGCTCGTGTGTTAGAGAGAGAACGCATGATTTTTGCCCAAAAATGGCGGAAGTTACCAGATTCTAGTAACTTTAATGTTGGGGATTGTTCCACCTGTTTGGAGATATCTGTATATATTTTTATAAAACATGACAGTACTATGAAGTTAGGTTATAAAAAATTACAGCTATTCAGATTTTATTTGTCAATTTTTTTGGCAGCAAATTTGCCCAACAATGAATTGTTGCCCAAAAATGGCGGATGATTGCGGTACTTTCTCAATGAATAAATCTAGTGATTTTAACCACTATAGTTCAGGTTACGCTACGCTCAAAGCGCGGCAAAATATTGTAACATGCTATTTCAATAGCGACGTTTCGCTCACGATACGTTCACTATCTTTGACCGCGGTCTTTCTCGCTACGGATATTTTGAAGGAACCAAGAGCGAACCGTTGCGGTATGTGCGTGTATAATGATTATAGAAGTGATGATCGCTTGAATTTCGCGCGTAAGGTTTTAGTGTTTTTTGCATTATTAAATTGACGGTTTGAAATTTGTTAGTAATTTTGTTCTGTCATGACTGTCATTTAAGAAACCAGTGTCGCCGTTAATTGTTGTGTGCCATTTGCGGTTTATTACTTTTTTGTACTCATTGAATGGAAAGATAATGTTTCCAAGCATCCTCGATGCACGGGAAAACGACTTTCCCGCATCGCGGTGTTTTTTAGTTTCCGCTGGAAAGAAGGGGTTATGCGCGTTCTTCGGTTGGTAGTACTTATTGAAGTCAACGAACGTCATGTCATGGTTAACTGTCATCTGCTGTAAAATCAATTAAACCGTTGGTTGAGGGTATTTAGTGCGATTAATCGGAAACAGACGTACAGTAAGTTTTACGTAAATATATAAACAAGAACTTATAACGCAATCAAATTATTTTTCAGAATTGGAACTCAAGAAAAAGTAAAATTTATTGTTAAAACGTCTTAAAATGTGACCAGTGATATTCTGCAACTATTCGCATATGCAGTTTAAGAAAGCACATATTAACACACACAAAGCTTCCAAGGATTTTAAATGTAACGAGTGTATTTACGCAACTCAAGATAAATCAAATTTGAGAACACATTTCTTCACACATGTCTTCTGGGAATATTAAATACGATCAGTACACTTACGCGACCAATAAGAGCACTCTTTTCAAAGCATATTTCTTAACATTGAAGACTTCCAAGGATATTTAGTGCAAACGATGCAATGTCGTGACCAGTAGTAGCACTCATTGCAAAGGCAAAATATGTATTAACCAAAGATGTGGAAGTTTTAAATGTGACCAGTGCAATGGTAGTTACAAAATTATGTTACCAACCAAACATATGATTGTGTTACCAACTCATGATTTAAAAAAAACTAATTTACAAAACTTTATTAATTTTGACCTTTTTTTACGCAATTCGTTACAAAAAATATTGTACCTAACTCTTTCGGAAAGAATTTTCCCGCATTCGCACTAAATGCAGCACTCCCTACGGTCGTGCTGCAAACAAAGTGCTCATGCGGGAAAATTAACTTACCGAACTTGTTAGGTAAATAACTATTTCATCACAATTTTTAGAGTTGATGCACTAAAATATGTAAGAAACGTAATTGTGTCTATAAGTGTTAGTTTATAATTTGTGGTAAAACAGAAGCAGTATTTGTAGATTATAAATAAGTAAACAATTTACTGAAAGCATGATGATACACCACTGCAATTAATTAAATAAATGATGATCAGTTAGTACCAACTTCATAATTTTTTTTGATTTGCGGGGAATTCAAACTTCACTTCTAAGGAATCACCCGGTACTTATCAACAGGTAGCGTTAGTTTTTCACTTTTTTTGTGTTATTACACGCATTTGCAGGATGGATGAACAATTAATCTAATTAGTCCGAAGTTATGAAGGAGCCCTTTATTTAGAATGAAAAATTTCCCTTTGATTTTACGCTTTTTCAAAATGTGATCCATCCCACTTCACAAGCAATGTTAAAAGAAACGTGTTGTAACCTTAAACGAATGTTGCATTTTGAAACAACCCAATTAAGCAAAACATCAACGTTATACTAACGATACTTGAAGGATTTTGTTTCTAAATCGTGGTTACGACGTTTTTGTACAAATCAAATACTGATTTAATCAAAGTGATCCGGTATTTGTGAAATTTTACATAATGGACATAATTTCATATTCCAAACAACAGTTTACCGTATTATTGACTGAAATCGCACTTTACCTCAACATAAAGTTACTTTTTACGATGCATTTTAACGTACCGAATGGAGCAAGTCGCTGACGAACGATAATCGCTGTGTAACGTTTTCTACAGATAACCTTCACGTTAAGTAGATAAGTATGACGTTTCTGATACATCACAGAACTGATGATTATGTTACAATAACATTTAGAAGGATTAACGTTATACCAAAATCATTTCGTTTTTTTGCAAACGTTATTGTAATGTTAATTTACATATGTTGACGGAACATTACTAGATAACATAATTACATAATATAACATAACATAACTATGTTAGTTCAGCTTAACATTAAAACAACAACATTTTGATAACATTAATTTGCACAGTTACAGTGACGATGGTGTAATATTAGAAATGTTCCTTTGGGCATTGTGCAGCAGAAAATAACTGGTTGATGCTCATCACTCAGTTCATCTCCATATGCAGTTTAACACGTTTTGTGGAATGTTGTTGGTTTTCTATGTATTGAGCGTGTGAATCGTAATCTGAAAACTGAGAAACATTACTATTTGTTGATATTTTTGAAAATAAATGAACGACAAAATTTATTGTACTTCATACACACACTGTAGATACACTAAAAAATGGGACAAACTGCAATACGTTAATGTATCAATTGATATAAAAACGCGAGTAGATGGTTAAATCGTCTTTACATAAGTACAAAATTAAATAAGGCTAAATTTCTCTTCAACATTTTGTAATTAAATAAAACATACTACGATGGTAATAGTTACATTTCATAAAGCAGTAAACTAGCACGTGATAGTTCATAAATACCTTTAATGTTTGGGTACTAGCAGATGCGCTTTGGACCGCTTTTCTTCGATGCAAAATGATTTTGGCTCCACCTCCTCCAAGCTGGTAAGGTCTATCTGCACGGACCGACTATAGAATCCGTAGTAGGCATGACCTCGTGGAAATTTTCAGTTATCTTGTTTTTCTGCGCAAATCATCCGCGGCACGGCGGCGGGTTAATGGAGATGATATCTCGCTCTTGACGTAATTTCGTTCTTTGGGATTCACCCTAAGGGAAGATTTAGCTTAAAATGCACGGCAGGCTTTGCGTCCACGACTTGCTTAGATTAGATAGATAGTTAACTCGTGCGTTTCTTTTTTTTATTGATAACAGATCCCGTTTCTTCGAATTTAGCGACCAAATCTTGGACATAGGCATGGCTTACATTTCTCCCGGGATGTCTCTCATTAAACGTTCTAGCTGTTCTAAAAGATGATCGGAGCGATAAATGAATATTATTTCTACACGTTCAGCTGTACTGTAAGTCAATAAAAAAGAAAGCAACCTGAAGCAGCTCAGGTTGAAGTTCTTGGCCAATTTGCCATAAATCCCTTCAATGTCAACATTTAGTTTTTTTTGTTAGGTAATTATTACATTTTTGTTAAATTGTCTTAATGAATATTGACTTTATTGGTACCACTGGAAAGCATTTTCCAGTAGCTTTCCAGCGATATGTCACAAACTCACAAGTATAGGGTTCCCATTTAGGATTTTTGAAGAGGGGGGGGGGGCTGGGGGGTTAAGGGGGGTTGTCACTCATAACGTCATTCTGGTTCCCCCTCGATACCCCCGAAACGGTTTTTTTTACAATATTTTGAGCGGAGCGTGACCTGAACTGTAGTATGAATTGGCCTTTAACCTATGCTGCGCTTAAATTTGTCGGTGCAAACAGCCATGTCTGTTTCGAAACTTGCAAGTTAGGAACGCAAATTATTGTTGATGTAAAACCAGCTTAACAAAATTTGGTTAGAGATAAGATAATGATTGTTGTTAGGAGTAGGTACAGTCGTAATCAGGAGTCTGTGGCCCTGCGTGATTGATTTGTGAATCAATTTTGGACATATGCAGACATACGTTAAAACACTGTAACCAGCTATCAAGTGTGCGAAATCGATAAAAAAGCGTGTCTGAAATTGATTCACAAATCAATGACGCAGGGCCACAGACTCCTGATTACGACTGTAGGTACTTGATATTCAAAAATAGTTTAGTGATCAAACAAAATACGGTTCGAGTCTACCTATTGCCACAGTAGGTGCTATAGTATAATATGTGTTATATTATGCTAGATTACGTTAGTAAACAAATTCGAAAAGGAAGGTAGAACATTATGTTTTTAATAACAAGCGGTGTGTTTGTCTTTTTGGGTGTGATATGGATAATGTTCAAGATTGCTACGGTTTTCAGCTACTGGAAGAATAAAAATGTGTACACTGGGAAACCACAATTTCCATTTGGAAATTCTAAGAATGTTGTTTTGCAAAAACTTCCACTTGGTTTCGACGTAACCGAACTTTACACCGAGATTAGGTCCAGATCGGAAAAGTATGGCGGATATTACAATTTCATGACACCAGTATTCGTTCCGACAGACCTGGACTTAATTAAGACGATCTTAATATCCAATTCCGACTCTTTTATTAATCGTGTGTCGTGTGTCACACGTTGACGAGAAGAACGACCCTCTCAGTGCCAATTTGTTGCATTCACGTGGCGATCAGTGGAAGAGGATGCGTCTCAAAATCGCGCCTTTTTTTACCAATTTAAAAATAAAACAGTTTCTTCCTGTGATGTTGCGAAAGACCGACGAGTTGATAAGGTTGATGGAAGATACTCCAAATCCACTGAATGTTAAAGAGGTATTAGATCGTTACACTATCGACTTAATAGGGCTTTATACCAGCTCAGTCGACTTGGAGACAATGAAAAATAAAGACTCCGAATTGGAACGTCAACTAGGGAATTTTTTTAACAAATCAATTGTGGATACCTTATTCCGATTTTTAATTACAATTCCGAAGGTAGTAAGGTACCTCAAAATTATGACATTTAACAAAGAGGTGACGAAATTTTTTATGCTGCTGCTCGATGACATTGTTCATGCCCGAAATCGAAGTAAATTGGAAACAACGGTTGTTCTCGATGTTTTAACCCAAAAGACGTTCAATGGTGGCGAATATTTTACACGAAGTGAAATTGTTGGTAATTTAGCAACACTTTTATTAGCAGGATATGAAACCACCAGCAATGCGTTGACATTTGGTTTGTATGAGTTGGCGTACAACATGGAACTTCAAGAGAAGCTTCGGATAGAAACCAGTACTCTGGAGACCTCTTTGGAGCCATTTTCTCTTTTAGACAAATTTGTAAAAGATAAGTTTCTGGCTAAGCTTCCAAGCTCATTGACGCACAATTTTCAGAAACTCTAAGAAAGTACCCTTTGACAACAATAAACACTCGAGAGTGCACGGAAACGTTTCGTATACCTAATTCAAACATAATCCTGGGAAAAGGCAGCCAAATTTATATACCGTTACGCGGCATTCACTGGGATCCCGAATATTATCCAAATCCCGAAAGGTTCGATCCAGAGCGATTTTCCGAAGAAAATTCGCGAGGACGACACCCGTGCGCTTCGTTGCCCTTTGGTGCCGGTCCAAGGCGTTGCATTGGTAAGTTTCACAGTTAATCTATGTCATAGCATTTCTTTCTCAAGGGGACAAGCTCGGAATGATGAACATGAAAATCACCATAGCAAGTCTATTAAAAAGTTACCGGTTTCGCTTGCATCCGAAGACACGTTCTCCATTGGATTACGATGCGAAAGCATTTCTTTTACAACCCAAAGATGGAGTATTTCTAAACGTTGAGAAAATTAGATGACAGGAACTGTAGTGGAACAGGAGTCAGTTGTAACCCCTTTTGTGCAAATCATTATTCTCTCACATCCAATAAACCCACTTTCGCATTTAAGTTTGTGTATATTACAGAAAATTAATATGAAAATATTTAACTCTAATTAAATGTTTACACTACCTGCATTACACTCTGATCCATTTGAAACCAATAGCATGCCGTTGATATAAAGATTTTTGGTCGATCTGATTGGTCTGGTATGATAACAGACGGCGGTAATCTCCGCCGAACTGAACTTCGCCTTGTAGAAGTATGATATTTTATTTCTGTGTTGTTTTTGGGGATAATTAAAGGCCATATTATTATTATTATGGTCGGTGTTTCTTGTGAGAACTCAGGTCTAGCCTGGTTAACTAATCGCACGGATTAAAATCAAGTAACGATTAGTGTCTGTGTCTGTGTCTGGTGAAGTTATGTAGGGTTCTAAAAAAAAAAAAAAATAAAATAAATATTCACACACTCACATTGGAAATCTAGGGATAGTATGTAATTCATACTTACCAACATAGCTATTAATGGCCACAATAGTCAACGCTATCAGGAAAGAAGAAAACAAAACAAAAATATCATTATAATAATTCCTGTAATTTTATTATTGTGTAAGTGTTTCTTTGGCTTTGCGTTTGGGTTGAATACGAATGGGTTGTGATAATGTGGTTTTTTTCAGAGGTGAATCTCTGATTGTAGTATCATTTGTTGTACTTGTTTGTTCGGTAAGTTGTATTTGTGTGTTTGTTTGGGTTAGAGGTGGAGATATTACAATATGTTGTGTACCGTGTTGTGAGCGAGTGCTGTTGTTTACATGTATACGTTGTGGATCATTTGTGTATGTAGTATCTTGTGTTATGTTTAGAAATTTACGAGCAGTATGGCATGTGTTGATAATGACTGCTTTTTGTAAATGTTTGTATGTGTTTTTGTCTAAACCTAATAATTGTAAATTGTGGTGTATTGTCTTTGGTATAACTCCGGTAGCACTAAGAATAATGGGAACTATAACAGTAGATTTCATTCTCCATTGCGTCTTAAGCTCGATTGCTATATCGGTGTATTTGCGGTGTTTTTCTGCATGTGTTTTAGTTAAGTTGTTAGTGTTGGGTATGGCAATGTCTATAATACAAATGGATTTTTGTGTTTTATCTATAAGTGTAATGTCCGGTCTATTATTGTGGATAGTTTTGTCTGTGAGTAGTGTCCTGTCCCAATATAATTTGTGTGTGTTGTTTTCAAGTATGATCTGTGGCGTGTATTTGTAATACGGTGTCTTATCTGTTATGAGATTGTGTTTAAGAGCTAATTTTTGATGTATGATTTTAGCTATCTGATCGTGTCGATGTTTGTATTCAGTTTGTGCAAGTCGTGTGCATGCAGATATTATATGTTGAATTGTTTCTGATGTTTGTGAACAGAGTCGACAAGAATCGTTTGTCACTGTTTTGTCTTTATGTATGTGTTTTTTTATAGTTGCGTGTATTAATGACCTGGTCTTGTATTGCTAACATGAAACCCTCAGTCTCCGGGAAGATATCACATTCAGACAACCAAGTGTGCGTTGCGATAGAATCAACACAATCCTGACTAACCTCTTGTGGAAATCGTCCATGTAACGGCTTTTGGTTCCATGTCTGTATGTTATTTGTGATGTATGTAAGTTTGGGTGGAGGTGGGAGTATATTAGTTTCGTGTAGGTTAAGTGGTGTGTAAGATTTGTCTGCATATGTTACTGTTTTGTGTAGGACTGAAGTATATGTTTTGTTATAAAAGTATTGTCGCAAATTGTGTATTTGTGTTTGGTGCAATATTTTTATATCTGTAAGTCCTCTACCTCCTTCCGAACGAGGAAGGTAAAGTCGTATAGTAGATGAGTGAGGGTGATGTATATGGTGTTTTGTTAATAGTGTACGTGTGTTTCTCTGTATTTGTTCTAAATCTGTATTTGTCCAACGTATAATCCCAAAAGAGTATGTAAGCACTGGTGTGGCATAAGTGTCAATAGCTTTGATTATATTTCTACCGTGTAATTTTGTTTTAAGTATACTGCATACTCTTTGTAGGTATTGTGTGATAAGTGTTTGTTTTATACTCGTATGTTTAATGTGTGTGTTTTGCTGAAAACCAAGATACTTATAAGTTTCATTCTCGTCCATGGAATTTATTAAATTACCCTGTTCTAGCTCATAATCTAAAAGTTGTATTTTACCAGCTGTGATGTGTTGCGTTTTACATTTATCGATTCCAAAGTCCATTTGTATGTCACGTGAGAATGTTTCGGTGATGTGCACAAGGTGATTAAGTTTTATGCTTGTGGAAGAGTATAATTTAAGATCGTCCATGTAAAACAGGTGTGTAATGTTGTGATGTATTTCGTGGTTGTGTTTAATATTGTACCCAAAGTTAGTAGTGTTTAACAAATATGGAGCAAGACAAAACCAGAGCGGACTTAAAGAATCGCCTTGAAAAATTCCTCTTTTAATTTGTATTGGGTCGGTAATAAGTTTTGTGTCGTTTAGTGTAAGTGTTCCAACATGACATTATGTAATTGAGGAATTGTGTAATATTGTTGCTGACTTTGTATATTGAGAGTACTTGTTGTAACCAAGAGTGTGGTACTGAATCGAATGCTTTTTTGTAATCAATGTATGCAGTGTGTATGTTTCATTTGTTATGTCTGGATTGTTCAAGTACAACGGAGTCTATAATGAGTTGCTCTTTACAGCCTCTGGAATACTTGGTACACCCTTTTTGTTCTTCGTATAGAATGTTGTTATCAGTACAGTGTTGGTATATTTTGTTTGTAATGCATGATGTAAGGATTTTGTATATTGTAGGAAGGCATGTAATTGGTCTATATTTAGATGGGTCTTGCGTATTGTTGTCTTTTGGAAGCATGTAAGTGATACCTTGTGTAAAGAATGCAGGAGTGCGATCTGGTGAATTAAGAAGTTCAGTAAATTGTTGCGCAAGGTAAGAGTGAGTGCACGTAAAATATTTCCACCAAAAGTTGTGAATGTTATCAATGCCTGGACTTTTCCAGTTATGTAAGTGATTAATAGTTTGAATGATGTCTGTTGTAGTGATGTTTGTGTTATTCATAGGGGTAATGTATTCAGTGCGTGTGGTTTCTGTGGTAATCCACGGGGCGTGTGGATTTGTTTAATGTCTTTGGTCCATAAGTCAGACCAGTATTGCTGGAGTGAGTGTAGAGATGGTGGAATGAGTTTTTCATTAGTGCTGTTTTGTGTTAGTGATCTGTAAAATAGTTTTTCGTTATGTTTAAATTGTGTGTTATGGCGCTTTCTATCTGCAGTTTCCCTATAGCGTTTTAGACGGTTTGTGTATATTGATAGTTTTTGTGTCAGTGTATCTCTATGTTCGTTATAGTTTGTATTTTGTTCTCGTGTGGTGTGATTGTTTAGTTTTGTAGTTATGTTTTGTACTTGTCGTGTTAGTTTTGAAGAACGAGTTCCTTGTATGTATTGTGTAATCCGACCCAAGTCACGTCTGATGTCATCGATGCGATTTATCAGGCGCTTTTCCCAGGCCGGGGGTGAGCGTTTTTTTGTTGTGTGCTGTTGTTTGTTTATTGCGATTCTTGCACCGTTACATCTAGAAACTGCAACCGCACCGCAATACACAACAAAGTGTAGTCGATGTAAGCTTGTGTTATCGTTAATGTAATTTGGTAAAATGTGGTCATTTAATGTTTGTGAAAGTGTGCGTAATATTGTAGTGTGACTTTGTTTAGGTATTCGGGATCTTTGTCTTGGGTCAGTGTTTGAGAATTCTAACAATGCATTGTCGAATTCTTTTTGAAGGGATGTGAGTGTTTGGTTCGTGTGATTATTTGTATCTATTGATGGCTGCAGTGTCGTAAATGTCTGTATTTCAGAGTTTTTAGAACGGATGTATTATCTTGTACGGCGAGTGTGTTGTTTGTGTTGAGTAGTGCTTCAATTTCGTGCCTGATTTGTTCCTGTGTGTCTAATGTAAGTGGATTTTTAATACTCTACGTTGGTCTGCAATGCGTTGTTCTGTTAAATGTGATAAGTGTGGGTATTGTTTAACGAAAGCTTGATGTAATTTACCTCTATATGTTGTCTTATCTGTCACCAACTTCGTGATCTCCAGATACGTACCAAAAATGAAGCGATTCATCCCTTCGTCCCATTTCATACGTCTTTTGGAGGTTTCCTTTGCGCTGGTCCCATCCACAAGCGGTTGAGAAGCAGGCACAAAGGTCTCTTCTTGGTGGTCCTCTTCAAGTGGTCGTTGTCGTCTTCGTGGTCTTCTTTCGGCTGTAGAGGTTTCGGGTATCCCGACGAGCGGCCGCCTGTTCACCAACTCGTCACTATCGGCTCGCATGCTGCAACGCCCAGCGATAGCTCCAGACGTGCCCTGACGCTCCTCAGGTAGCGGCATTTTTCCGAGGCTTTGTTTAAACTCCATTTTCATAAGAATATGGGGTGACTAGGAACACGTGAAGGCGTCACTCTTCAAGATATTCACGTAAGCAAATATCCACCTGCGCGTTGTGTATAATGTAGGAAAATAAGGAACTTGGGCGTGGGAGTTGGAAAGTAAAGTGGGTAGGTAAAGTACTAAAGGTGGTTGGGCTTGCCACCTTTAGTTCCCATTGATCGCCTTTTACGATCTCTAGGGCGAGAGTGGGCCTATTCTATCCCCGAACCCACAGGGGATTATTATTATTATGGTCGGTGTTTCTTGTGAGAGCTCAGGTTCTAGCCTGGTTAACTAATCGCACGGATTAAAATCAAGTAACGATTAGTGTCTGTGTCTGTGTCTGGTGAAGTTATGTAGGGTTCTAAAAAAAAATAAAAATAAAATAAATATTCACACACTCACATTGGAAATCTAGGGATAGTATGTAATTAAACAATTCTAAAAGGAAAAACACTGAGATACAAATTCAAATGAAACGAACGAAATTTGTGTTTATTTCGTAAATAGTCCTCCCGATAAATTGTAATATTCTCATATACAGGGTGTCCTGTCATTATTTTTGGTGTTTAGACCAAATTAACGTCGAAATGACGTTGTTTACACAACATTACTATAACGTCGTCAAAGAAGCTCACTACATTGGAAAGGTCCCGCTTCACCCTGTTCACTGGATGCTATCTGATAATGCGTCATACACGGCGCAATTTGGATGAATCAAACAAGGCGTTGGAGGGTCAAGCATAAGAGCGTGTCTAAATTCATTGTTGATCTCGCATTTGTGTCACATGTGATAGAGGAGATTAGAGCCGTACATCCGGTTGAACCGGTAGTAGGTTTGTAGTTGCTCGTTATTCTTCGTATTTCTTAATTTTATACGGTTCCTCCCCCAATGACAAAACCGATCTATCCGCCAGGCACGCTACAAAAGACCTACCAATCTCTACGAGGCCTACCGATGTTTGATTCCGAATGTAAGCTAGTTGTCGAACAGCTGTTGAATTACTTTCGGTAGCCGAACACTACCGAACTAGAACCACGATCACGCATTCACACTAAACATAACACGATCACTACTTGGTGCTCTCCGAAGGCGCATACACGAATCTAGCTCCGATAAATGTTGACACTTATAGAGTGCAGAGCCCTCCTTTATTGCACCCTTAACTCCAGGCAACGTTACTAGATCGCCACCTGCGAACGAAACACGCCGCAAAATACATAGACTAGATCATGTCTACCCCCTCCCCCCACCCCCTTCCAAACTCACAACTCAAAGCTCAAAGATACCCATAACAGACAGACTAAAGCCATCCAGAAGATTCCGTGAAATAAAACCGCCGCAGCAAGAACCCTGTTGATCAACCCTAGAAACAACTTCAAATTCTCTCCTTTGCTCCTTATCCAACTCCTTGATAATATTCCCTCGGAATTCGAGAAGATTTTTAGTAAGATCTTGCTGTCTACAGGCTACAACACCTTTTATATGGACAAATTTTCTCTATTCTCTTACAGCCTAGGTGGATCCAATTTAGTCACAAAATCTTCTCCAAGCGCCTGTTAGTTTTTTGCCTGACAAACAGGGAAGGGGTTGTTTGCAAACCTCACAAGGCATACATACCTGCTTGTTCGGAAAACTTCAGGGTGATGGCGGAGATATTGTAAAAGAGTCATTGCCATTAGATTGGCCTGAGCATCTTTTCCGATGCCCGAGTCAATTAATCTCTCTTGACAATTATCCATAAGTGGCGACAATTCCTACCCCAAAAATGTCGAATCCGGAATTTTGACACCCCAAAAAAAGTCGGACTCTTTTCGCCGCGAAGAAAAAGTGCCGGGGTTTGAATAGGTAACTAGAACGCACACTACGTTACGACTTTCAGCTGTGACTAATCTACCAATGCAACTGTAAACTGGTATATCCCGAATAAAGTACATGCAGTTCCCCATCCTAGGAGTCGGATTCTACTAACTCTTCAATCCATGTGCGATATAAGCGGCGCTTCGCCGGTTTTTACATAGTCCGCTGTTTAAAGCGGATGATATCCTCTAAAACACAAAGAATTTTTTTGCACCAAAGTTGAGTCAACTTTTATACAGCGATCTTTACCCTAACTTGGTCATTATTTGGAATTAGCTATTAACTTTTTCTTTGAGTGTTTCGAATTCGAAATTTGACCTCCCGAAGTTTGCTGCCGTTGCCATCGCAACAAACTTTACGACTATCGAATTTTCGATTAATTACCGTTGCTACGATACCAGGTGACTCCCGAGAGTGGTTGTCAGTTCTTCTGTTAAAATACCAGACGAAAATGGAAACACGATGGTACCTAAAGCCTGGCGATACTTTGGAAACTACAAAAATCAACGAGCGCGGCCATGCTCTACACGCAACGGCGGACGCATGGAAAAATCTAACGGCGCATTTGGACCGAAATCGGCTAATTCAAGAATCAATCGAGCGAGAAAGGGCGCACAAAGAAGCTTTGAAGAAAGGCTCCCTTGAAATGACGGCAAAGTGGGACAATTCAGTCGAGGTAAGTCTTGTACCATTACCGTTCGCGTGTCTCGCACAGTAATCGTTTAGAATATCAGAAAGCGGAAAGAGGAGGAACGTACGACAAGATTAGAAAAGGAAGAGTCGGATAAGATGGAGAGGTTCTTCAAAATTCGCGCGGAACAAGAGGGAATTCGCCAACAGTACATTTCAGACGCCAGGCGAAGGATTTATCTCACAAAAGAACATCCAAAAGCTCTAACCAGCGCGCTGATACTATCAGAAGTGATCTACGAACGGGAAAAACAACTTGAGTTTGATAAGAAAATTAAACAACACGAAGAGGAGGAACTTGCCAAACGAACTCAGAAGATTAAAGAGGACGCAATTAAGGAAGTGGAAGAGAACAAAGCAAAAGAAAAGAAAATTCGCGAAAAAAATTCAGAATTGGGCAAGGAGTACCTAAGGCAGTGAGTTTAATTTTTATTTCCATTCCCGCACTTGTGAATTTCTTTCAGCATAATTGGGAATGAAAATAGCGCCAAACTATTGAAGCAGCAGAGCATTGATCGTGAAAGGGTCGACATTGCTAACATGGAAAAGGAATTTGCGCATATTAAGAGAGTTGAAGCCGAGGAGGTGAGTGTAATTCACATTCCAGTGTTTGTTACTCTTCTAATTTGCTTCAGGTACAAATGAAGAAAGATAGCATCAAAAAGGAGTTTTTAGATTTTGGAATCGCCCAAGCTCGTGCGAAAGAGATTATGGAACAAGAAGACAAAGAACAAGAAAATATTATTAACATATACGCGCAAGCTAAACATGGCATTGAGTGTTTGAGGCAGAAGAAGGTTAAAGAAGTAAGTATTGGGAGAAAGTGCGGCAGATATTCTTAGTGAATGATTTAGATGCAACAAGCCATGGTGTTAAGGCGAGAGGCAGCTTCGAAAAAAGCCGTGGCCGAAGCCAAAGCAAAGGGGGAAAATGAAGAGCGAATTTTGAAGCAAGCCGCTGAAGAGGTCGAAAAACGGTAAGCCATAGCCTTCTCCCGCATTCCCGCGTCGCGCCGCTTCGGTTTGAGTGGACCTTTAAAATGGCGGTTCATTTTTTTTAGAGAATTGGAACAGCTCAAATTGAAAGAGCAGACACGTCGGCAGCTAATAAAAGACAGACAAGAAGATCGCGAGAGGTTCCTGAAAAGGGAGGAGGAGAGGAAACGTGAGGAGGCCGAAGTTATAAAGTGGGAAATGTTAAATCGTTTTAAGAAAAACGATGTTATGGAAGCGTATAATAAGGCAAAGGAAAAGGAACGGTGGGACGGTAAACTGGCGTACAGGAGAATTCTGATGGACCAAATTGTTGGTGCGCTCACTTGCAAGTAACGGAATGCTAAACGATGACGTTGCAGGCTGAAAACGGGGAAATAGCGAAGAGGGAGCGAAAGGAGGCGCACGATTTGTTCGTGGAACAACAGAAGAAATATGACGACGATGACGAGCGATTCTTCGGTTACGCCGAGGAAGTGATTGCCTACGCGAAGGGGAAAAATAGGCAAACGTGGCCTGTCGAGCGTGTGATACAGGTAAACTTACATGAAAGTTTCTTCACTAAGTCTGTCTTTTACTTTGCAGGAGTATAAAAGGAATAATAACTTGCTTTCGAAGCACAGACGAGCTTGTCCCGAAGAAGACGTTGAAAAATAGCCAACTTGATCTGTTGTTGAACAAAAAAAAAATTAAATTGAACATACAACACAAATAAAAGTTATACAATATAAATTCTACCGTCTTTATACAGGGAATTTTTTTAATGTATTCATATATGGGGTTGTATACTTAAAAAAAATTTGTTGTGGTCGTTCGTGTAGCCGGAAATGAAAGTACAGACGGACCGACAGACAGACAGACATCATCGAGATTTTGTTTGATTCGGATTCCTGGTGGTACATGTATTTCAGTAAAAAAATTCATTTTTTACTCCAGTGCAATACCTTTCTTACTAGCATGCGGGTGGTAAACACGGATCACATGCATGGAATAGATTGCTTTAATAGGCAACCAACTGTACACGAATTAGTTTTAAATGTTCTGCGTGTGCAATTCAAACAGTAACTTGCCTATTTAAGAGGCGCTTTCTTTCGATGATCCAAATGTATCGTTTAACAGGAAGTGCTATAAAAAATGGATATTTATAATACAATACGATAAAAGGATAAAAATTCTGTAAGTATTTAATTTAGATGTCCAAAATAGCAAGTTTATGTTCTCCCCTCGTTTCCATGGAAACCATATTGTATTCTGTTTTGAACTGTATTTTATTTCGTGCTCCGCGTCCTATTTTCAATAAGAATGACAGATGGCACTGGAATGCACACTGATTTGTGTCTATCTACCATTGCCGGTAAAATGATCACATTATCTACCCTTACTGTTAGAGACACTATCCAAACCTATTAAAACGTCAATTTAACGTCTACTATAAAATAAATACGAGTTACTCATATAATACCACTTATCAAAATTTTTTATCCATATCACCAATTCATAGCTACAGGGGTGATCCTAACTTAAGGTTTACCTACTGATCGCTTACTAGAGGTAGGTAATGCCGACCAATGAGATTCGTTTACCTATTCGATTTTCTAAGCAGAAAAAACTCAATTGCAACTTTTTGTCTCTTACAATAAACTGGAAAATATGCCGCACGGCAGACAAAAGGAAAAGAAAGCGAAAACTAAGAGGCACAATTGATCTCTATACAAATGGTAGGGAGTCCCTATAGTTTTGAGTTGCCTGCACGTACAACATAAGCTAACACCTGTGTGAAAATCTCAACAATAGCAGGTAACCGAAATGTTCATTTATTCTTTTTTTACATTTCTCTTGTAATCCACTTTGCTTAAATAGTGCACAAGAACACCTCAAATACAATAATTATATAATATCATATAATATTTATATACCTTACACAAATTATACCTACAAACGTAAAAAGTTAAAAGTGCGCCCTTCATACTTTTGCTTTCCACTTCGAAAGTTAAAATTAGAACATTTTCGCTCGCTTATGAGATACGGGGAAAATCAAAAAATTGCCACTACCAGAATGGCCCCATGTTTTCTTAGTTAAAAGCAGGGTTAAAAGAGATACAGAAAAATAATTTTCACAAATGTTTCTTAATAAATTATTGTTGAATAGTCTGCCGTTTTCAAAATAAGTATACGGGGTGAAATTTAAAAATTATCGCGCTTCATTTTTTTTAATTAGAACATTCTATATTTTATGTACCTATTTGTTTTTAATCATTTGTACTTTTTTTAATTTTCTTAGATCTTTTGAATCTTTTTAATCACTTGAATCTTTCTTGAGTATTATCCCTTGTGTGATGTATAGAAAAAATGAGGTCAGGTCCTATAACTGTTTATCTTACCCCGTATACATATCTTGAAAACGGAAGATTATTCAAAAATCATTAAGAAACGTTTGTAATAAATATTTTTTTCTGTATCTCTTCTAACTAAGGAAATATAGGACGTGATTCTGAAATTGAAAATTTTTTTATTTTCCCCTAAGCGAATATTTTCAAATTCTGATTTTGCCATTTTAAGTTGGACTCAAAAGGAACACGCATGACGCTTATTCTACTGTTTATGATAGCACTGTCGCTTACGGGGATACCATAAGAAACGTGTCGAAAACACCCTGTACATGTAGAAGCGAGCAAAGATAGGTATAATACAGTTTACCGTACCATATCTACTCGTGCTATTTTTGGGCCAAAATACAGTGCAAAATGGAGGTACCATAATTTTACCATATATATATATATATATGAATTTTACCGCCTGGAAGCATTTCAAGGTATACGTCTTTCGCTATAAAAATCGGTGCACGTCATTGATTTATGAATCAATTTCAGACAAGTTTTCTATAGATTTCGCACACTTGTTTTTTTTTTGTACATGTTGCAGTGTTGCAGCATATGTCTAAAATTGATACACAAATCAATGACGTGTAACGGTTTCTATAGCGAAAGACGTATAGAATAAACAGATCTGTCCCATCTTTTTTTTGCTGAATTTCGCCAACTGATCAATGTCGCTATTCTGCAGGGACCCAACGAAGAGAGGATTTTGGAATAGGATTTTTTACATAATCTTCAAAAATTGTACTTTTTGGCCAACAGAGAAATGCTATCCCATAAGTAGGTATCTTGTTTACTTACTTCAATCTGAAACAGGTGGCATTTGTCGTTGACATTGAAACAAAAATACCGTTTCGATTCTTTGTTCTATTTCTATTTCATTTCATATTCACGAAATCAAGTAAAGAAGGATAAATGATACCTACAAAAAAAATACATGAATAAGTCAACGCACTGCATGACTCACTACTGACCATATTTTTTAAAGTCGGGCACTATCAGATTCGAGATCGTACCATTCATTCTGATTTCTGATGGTCGAAAAATCGAAGAAACTTTATAATTTTTAAGGTATGGGTACCGGTACGCGAGGCTAATTTTTAATGCAGAAGAGTGTTTTTATGAAAATCCTGCAAAGAAATTTGAATAGGCAAATGAGAGCTTTAACCTGTTGACTATATTCCACATTTCGCAATAAAATGTTGTACATTCTTTACAAGTATCAGGGCTAGGTAAAGTCTTGATTGTGGGCCTACAGTGCCATTTTTCGCAATTAAATTAATTGATTAAATAAATCGACCGTTTTAATGTACGAGTATAGAACATTCTTTTCCGCACCCATGAATCTCCCGCACCCACCGACGGATGTGCTTCGAGCTTCGTCAACATCTATCATTCTCCCTTTGTAAGTACGCTCTTTCGACACTCCGCCACGTGATATTCGCATTTGAAGCTTTGACGCCACCGAGGGATGCGTCTCATCCACTTCTATTATTTTCCCTTTGTAAGTACCCTTTTCCAGTTTTTCAGATGTTCACAATTCTGCCCCCCCCCCCCCCACACTACACTACAATCTCAGAAAAATCGCACCACTAATATGAAAGTGAGTTCTACACATGAACGGAATATCTTTTTTATATTTGTCGTAAGAAATCGGAGGAACCAATGCTGAAATTAAAAAAAAATCGCTCCAGAAATAAGAGTACTGATTCAGTACACACTTTTTTGTTTATTTTTCAGCTATTCCCCAAAAAGTGTGTGTATGAGACTGTATCGTGCCAATATCCCATAGCTATGCATACTATTTTAGTGTAAAGAATAGAATACTATGTTTTTCTCTAACTAAAAGCATCTATGGCTAAAATTTCAAAAAAAAGAAATATGAATAACAAAGTTGGCATTGCGCAATCTGCGCATGCGCGCATCTGATATTTATAGTATGCGATGTTTTACTTTACTAGAAGCGTCTTGAAACTTGAAACTTTGACATATGCCTGGCGTCGCCGCCTCTCCCAGGATTTAGTCAACTGTCGTGAGGATGCGTCCCTGGTAGGCACTATCAGGGACGTTTCACCACTACTTTGTTGCCATCGCGCTGGGCCGCGACATATGCCAAACAATGTGGTGGAGTTTGTGGATTGGGGGGGTTGTGGGGGGGCGGCTAACTGGGTGTTATCCGACCCGAACGGGTACGGCCACAGCTTCGCCACTGGTATTCTGCCTTAGAGGGAACTCTGCTTTCTAGTGATAGCTTCTTCTCCTGGCGTTCATTGTCTTCCGATGTTCCTATCCTTTGGTATCGTTCCCTTCCCTGTTTTCCCCCGTGTTCCTCCCCTTTTTATTGTTGCCCTCTCTCTGTGTTACTTTCTGTCGTTCCCTCTTCCTCCTCCTCTTGGCTACTTGTGCTTATGTCTGATTCTTCTTCCACCTCCAATATTCTTCTGCTTTCTTTCTTCATTTGATGCTTGTCTCTGCTCCACTCTTCCCAACTTCCCATGGGAATCCCCGAGGCCATTACCGTTTGGTCTATGGTGGTGTTCCATGTGAAGCAGGGTCGGCCTACCTTCCATTCCGAGGCACACAGATTCTTGGCAGGATATGGTCTTTGTTCCTCCTGTTTATATGTCCCCAGTATCTCATCTGTCTCATCTTCAGTCTCCTGGTGATCGTCTTTCCCTCTAGTAGTTCCCTTATCTGCTTTCTTGTAAGGTTGCTGTTTTCCATCAGTATCCTGAGTGCCTTCCGCTCCGCCCTCCTCAATGTTCGTCTGTTACTTCTTGTTAGCGCTGAGGTATTAACTCCGTATAAGATTGTCGGTGCTATGATCGTGTTGTAAAGCATCATCTTCAAGCTGTCCGGTATTTTCTTCTCTCGTATAAAGTTCCGAATTCCGTGTGTGATTCTGAATCCTACTGTTTTTGCCCATATGCCTACTGTGTTCGTGATGCTTATTTCCTTTGATTTCGTCCTTATTATGTGGTCAATCTGCGATTCAGAGTTTCCCCTCCTCCATGTTGTCAGTACCGTTTTGGAGTTGCTGAATGTGTTTTCCACCCTCAGTCCATGTAGGTGTACCATGTTCCTAAGCTCGCTGCCGTTCCCATTGTCATGCTCGTGCTTGATAGCTTTGCCTATACCGTGTTCCTCGTCTTCACTTCCATCCAGTTTGCCTAGTTGCGCATTGAAGTCGCCTAGTATGATACCCGGGTTCTTTCCGCACTTTTGTTCTATTGCTTCACTTAGCTTTCTAAGTTCCGCCTGCCTTCTTTTGTCCGAGGGGATGTGGCATCCTATGATTGTTAGTCTTCCTATTCTTGTCTTGATTTGGGCCATGGATATGCTCTCGCTTTTTTCTTCAAATTTTTCCACTTCAATGCCTCGGTACTTCCTGATTACGATTGCCGTACCCCTGCTGGTTCTCTCCTTTTTCCCTCCCCCTATCCACCAGTCGTAGTTCCCTGTCGCAGCCATTCCACTTGCTAGTTTGGTTTCTTGTAAACTGGCTACGTCTATTCCTTGTTACCTTAATTCATTGTCAATTAGCTCCCTTTTCCTTGGATCTCTTGCCCCTTGCACATTCCACGTGGTTACCCTCATGCTGCTGTCTTCTTCTATATCTTGGCTCCTATCTTGGTTTTCTCTTCTCCCCTGCGAGGCACTCTTTCCGGACACCATACTCAGACTGTATTCGTTAGGGACAGCGGCTCCTCTCGCTTCTTCGTTTTCCCCTAGCACTCGTGTTCGTCGGTATTCCTCCTCTTCTTCCTCTATCTCCCCTATCATGTTTTCTGCTCTCACCACGCTATCATAGTGGTTCCGGACATCGTTACTCCCTAATCTGTATGCTAAGTGGCAGTGACCTGTGGCTCCCGTTGTTGCTCTTGGTTCTATGACATGCTTCCCCCCTCCTTCTTCGTATATCACTATCTGGCTGTTGTATGTATTGGCCGCCGCCACCAGTGACTCGTATCCTCCCCAAAACCCCTGCTTTCTGTGGTCCCTGAGGTATGCTTCGATCTTTTCCTCCATGTTGGCATATTGTTCATACCGGGGTTCTAATTCCACTACGTTTCCTATCAGCTGTGGGTAGAAATCTTCCAGGTTTTCCCTGATGTATGCGTTGGTTTCTTCTCTAATCCTTTTGGTTAATTTCCTGTGAGGTTCTGATGTCACTGGGAATCTCCTCAGTTGATGCCCAATCGCTCCAAACAGGCAGGCCCCATCCTTATTTATCCTGACGCACTCTAGGATGTACTCGTTTGTGTGTACTTCTTCGGTCATCCTGTTTGGTCTCTGCTGCTACTCGTTAAGAGAAAGTAGTTGAATACTGAAAAGTGGGCGCTGAAATAGAACGCTGGAAGAGAACGCTGAAAGATATAATTAAATTGGATTATGATTTGTCCCAGTGAGACTTGCCCATGCAGTCTAGTTTAACTTAGCCACCCTGTATAGATTGTGTGGGAAATTGGTGAAATTCAGAATAATTGGGGTCGGTCAAAGCAAGCAGACTTCTTATTTATCCCGTATAATGAATTTGTTTGAAAACTGTAATTCTACCCGCAGCCCTCGGAATGCACTATTATTGACCTTTTCCCATTATACAAAAAAATTATCAAAGTCCTCGTTTGAGATCGAAGGGACTTCAGCGCATTTTTGTGTGGCAGATCAGTATTCTATTAGCCACTTTCGATTCAACCATCAATAACAGATCTTGTCGAAGGCTACTACATTCACTAACCGCTTCCCACTTTCCTCGTGCACCCGCAATTCGCTTTTAAAGATTTGACTCCACCATCAGGAAGATCGTGTCGGGGGCTACCACATTCCCTTTGACGGTACCCACTTCCGACGTTCGGTTCACCCGCAATTCGCGTTTGAAGATTTGACTCCACCATCAGGAAGATCGTGTCGGGGGCTACCACATTTCCTTTGACGGTACCCCCTTCCGACGTCCCGTTCGCCCGCAATTCGCGATTGAAGATTTGACACCACCATCAGTGAGATCGTGTCGCGGGCTACCACATTCCCTTTTACGGTACCCACTTCCGACGTCCCGTTCACCCGCAATTCGCGTTTGAAGATTTGACTCCACCATCAGGAAGATCGTGTCGGGGGCTACCACATTCCCTTTGACGGTACCTCCTTCCGACGTCCCGTTCACCCGCAATTCGCGTTTGAAGATTTGACTCCACCATCAGGAAAATCGTGTCGGGGGCTACCACATTTCCTTTGACGGTACCCCCTTCCGACGTCCCGTTCACCCGCAATTCGCGTTTGAAGATTTGACTCCACCATCAGGAAGATCGTGTCGGGGGCTACCACATTTCCTTTGACGGTACCCCCTTCCGACGTCCCGTTCACCCGCAATTCGCGATTGAAGATTTGACTCCACCATCAGTGAGATCGTGTCGCGGGCTACCACATTCCCTTTTACGGTACCCACTTCCGACGTCCCGTTCACCCGCAATTCGCGTTTGAAGATTTGACTCCACCATCAGGAAGATCGTGTCGGGGGCTACCACATTCCCTTTGACGGTACCTCCTTCCGACGTCCCGTTCACCAGCAATTCGCGTTTGAAGATTTGACTCCACCATCAGGAGATCGTGTCGCGGGCTACCACATTCCCTTTTACGGTACCCACTTCCGACGTCCCGTTCACCCGCAATTCGCGTTTGAAGATTTGACTCCACCATCAGGAAGATCGTGTCGGGGGCTACCACATTTCCTTTGACGGTACCCCCTTCCGACGTCCCGTTCACCCGCAATTCGCGATTGAAGATTTGACTCCACCATCAGTGAGATCGTGTCGCGGGCTACCACATTCCCTTTTACGGTACCCACTTCCGACGTCCCGTTCACCCGCAATTCGCGTTTGAAGATTTGACTCCACCATCAGGAAGATCGTGTCGGGGGCTACCACATTCCCTTTGACGGTACCTCCTTCCGACGTCCCGTTCACCAGCAATTCGCGTTTGAAGATTTGACTCCACCATCAGGAAAATCGTGTCGGGGGCTACCACATTTCCTTTGACGGTACCCCTTCCGACGTCCCGTTCACCCGCAATTCGCGTTTGAAGATTTGACTCCACCATCAGGAAGATCGTGTCGGGGGCTACCACATTTCCGTTGACGGTACCCCCTTCCGACGTCCCGTTCACCCGCAATTCGCGTTTGAAGATTTGACTCCACCATCAGTGAGATCGTGTCGCGGGCTACCACATTCTCTTTTACGGTACCCACTTCCGACGTCCCGTTCACTCGCAATTCACTTCTATTGGCGACACGAGAAAGAGAGACAGCGATTCGAGATTCACGAAACGTTAAACCGCGTGAGTTCGCAACGGAAGGTAAAAGGCGCCTGACTACTTCTCGAAGACGCGCGCGCGCGCGCCTCGCAAAAGGTCGTTAATTTCGCCCCTATGACAAAAAACAAAATTCCGCCACGCAGGAGTTGTGCGCGTTTACAACATCTTTCCGACGACACCAATTTCAAAAGAATCGGACCAAAACTGTAGTAGAAGATAGGAAAAAACTGAAAAACCTTCACGTTAGTATACTACGCTCGAGGATGACGCCCAGATGTCGCCAACCCCACATCATGTAGCCATGTCCCTAAGGTTGACAAATTGCACGGCCCTGTAGATACACGTACACCCGTTGCCTTTCTACAAGAGTTCTTCTACGCGCCCACATTTGCTGCCATCCAGGTAGCCAGCCAGCCAGCCAAAGTGAGATTAAAAGCTACTTTTTACAAATAAATTTGCAAAAATGCGCTAAAAAATAAGAGCGGAGTGTCGTAGAAAGCTTCTGGAACCGCATGGCAGCAGTACGTGTCGACCATTACAATTGACGCTACAACCAATGAAATATGAAGAAAGGTTGGAGCAGGTTAGCAGTTCCTTAAATTACTCAGAAACTTTTCTTGCAAACAAAGCCAATAAGGAAGCAAATTTTGTTGACTTTGAAATCACCGGTGTCAAGTTAGCCCCCCCCCCCACTTTTTGAATTTTCAAAATATTTTTATTGCAATCGTTTGTTGGTTGTTTGTTAGTTACATTTTTACGTTTGTTGGTTGATCGTTATTTAATTATTCAAAATTCAAAAATGTTGGCGTATAGTTAGCCCTCCACTTTTTGAATTTTCTATATATTTTTATTGCATTCCTTTGTTGATCGTTTGTTGGTATTTGTTAGTTACATTTTAACGTTTGTTGGTTGACCGTTATTTAATTATTCAAATTTCAAAATTTGGGCGTATAGTTAGCCCCCCACTTTTTGAATTTTTAAAATATTTTATTGCAATCGTTTGTGTTGGTGTTTTTTAGTTATATTTTCACGTTTGTTGGTTGATCGTTATTTAATTATTCAAAATTCAAAAATTTGGGCGTATAGTTAGCCCCCCCACTTTTTTAATTGTTAAAATATTTTATTGCAATCGTTTGTTGGTGGTTTGTTGGTATTTTTTAGTTATATTTTAAGGGCTATTAAAATCGATAAAACAAATTTGAAAGTGCACTCTTCGCCTCTTGCTCATAAGCGGCTTAACGAATTTTTTTTTGTAAAGTACCTACCCAGATCACGAATAATAATTTATTCATTTGCACATTATTATGGTTCAGCAGAAGGAGGAGATTATTTTATTATAAATAAATTGTTTTTAAAATAAAATTATTAGAAACAAAACACTATGAGAACAATAGTCGCAAATTAACCGAATGTAATGATGAAACTAACAATGCAATTAACGCCTAATAAAGGAGAAATTGTACCTTTCAATTGAAACATCAATTACATTTCAGCCTCCGCACTCCTAATTCATATACAATGCACGATAACATAACGTTACTTCACAGAAAATTAACATCAATTATAATTACCTGTTCATATCGCTCGCGCGCGCATTGTTAAATGAACTGTAATTCAATTTACGCCCGACATACTCCGAGATAATTACGTAACAATCCACAAAAAAACGGCATAGCGACGTGACGCCGTTTGCGCCATTTCTCCGAAATAATGAAGATTCATCGAATTTAATTAAGCTTTAATTAATAAAGTATGTACGGAATGCGAATAAAAGTCAGGATCTCTTTCAACACGAAATAAATTAAGTTTTCCGATTCATATTTTATGGGTGGAAATTAAGGTTAGTGGGGCCTTCTGAAATGCTTCCAAAACACATAAATTAATGGTGATTTATACTTGTTTGGGGATTTCGGTTCGGTGGGTCTTGGCGCTGAATGTAATCGATGCATTGTGTCGCGACGTAATGATTTCAATGTAATTTGGGAATTTGAGCGGACTAAAAGACATTCGTGTGGAAGAAATGGTTTTCTGTCAACTCTTATGATTGAGGCATACAGTTATTTCCATGAAAGATGTTTCTCCTTGAAGATATAAACCCCATGTGAAGTCACCAATTTTAATTAGGACACTGTGTATAATGACTTTTCACATAAACCAGCAGGAGA